GGAACGCACACGACACATACATGGTATATACGAGGTCTTCCGTTCGTATTCCTATCCTGGATTTAATCGCGAACAGTTGCACAGTATTCCGCCGAATGTAAACGAAGGTTTAGAGAATCCGGTAACCATATTTGGCGCTAAATATGCGTAGGAAGCGCATACGCACGCACGGAGATTATGTATTTCATCGGCCTAAATGCGCTATTCCGCGTGAAAATGGTAACGGGTTTAGGAGAAAATTTCGGCCAGAAAGTGCTTGTTTATTTATAGCACGATAGCAGAGCGCGGAGAAGGTGCATTGTTTAAGCACAGTCGATTAAGCACGGTCCGTCGTCGGATTATCCCTTAATGAATCGATTCGGTGAACCGCAAGACTCTGCCGCGGGTTTACAGTATTTATTGAGCGGACCAACGATACATCGGAACCGTAAAATTGGATCGAAATCAATGAGAGCAAAGGTTGCCTCAATAAAGAGAACAAGATTCTCTCATGCTAATTATCTCGGCGGCCTTATTGTTGTGTTTCTTTTTTTTTTTTGGCTTGTGAAATCTTCTCGTAATTAGCGTATTCCGTTGTTGCACATTGAAATGAATTCGACTATTCACGATTGTGAAGGTACAATTATAATTTTCAATAAGCAGCCATTAGGTTTTGAAATGAAGAGAACCGAAAATATCATTTTGCTGCAACAATAATAGATTTCCAGTCTAGTTGATTCGATCCCGCGCATTCGTTACTTTACCCTTGATTATGTTCACAGAGAGTCTGTTGCTCGTTGAATGTAAAACTCGGTCAACCATTTAACAGTCGCGCGTGTGACACGAGAAAAATTACAGATAATAAAATATACGAACCATAAAGCGCGCTGCCGCGGAAATTCTTGCGGACGATGTTACACACGCGCGTTTATCGATGAGATATGTAACAAATAATAGGGAAATCAGTAATTAAAATCGGTAGTTTGTAGCGCGTATTTAAAAAAAAATTGCTGCTCCCATTTATATTTTTGGAAAGTTAAAAAGAAGCGCTTCGAATATAATTACACATGACGAGTTATACTTTCGTAATAAGCGCATTTTATTCATTTGACACGCTAATTATATTGTATCATACTGTTGCAGGTAATAATTTTAACGTAATTTCGTAGCAGGCCTTTTCTCTCCGTCTCTACTTCCCTTTCCATCTCGATCTCTGAGAGATTAAAAATGTTATCGTTTTTATTACAGCTTCTAGTAATATAACGGTGTTACTTCTATTATTTCATGTTATGCTAATATTTTATGGAACGATGAGTATACCATCATATAAAAATCATATCTATCATATTTAATGTAAATTAATATATAGCTGCGCACGTGTGTGTCTTTCTGATATTTCAATTATAATAAGTAATATTCTATCTTTAGATACTATGCTTTCTATGCTTGTATGTGTGTGTGTGTGTGTGTGTGTATTTGAAATTTTTTTAAATATTTTAAGAGAGAAAGAAACAATATTGTTTTGAAAAACTAATTGATTTTTGTAAATTAAAAAATAATAAATTCTGGTTTTGCAATGTGACACAAATAGTGATAATAATAACAAATTGTAAAATAAAAATATCCATGGTATATCTTTCACCATATAAATGATATAAATCGAGTTATCTTATTATTATTTTGCAAAAATATTCTATATTTTTGTTTGAGATTGTGTAAATATTCATAAAAATATTGCTTTATTCTTTAATGTTAAAAATATTCGACAACTTATGTTGCTAATATAAAACTTAGCGGCCTTAATTCCAGAAAGCAAAAGAAGTAATAAAGATTTTGAGCGTATGCGCGAATGCAAGACGAATAAATCTGTTAATCCCGGCTCTGTATAATTACCGCGATAAATTTATTTTATCGGCCACAATATATATTATCGGTATTTGTATCTGATCGAATACACATGTGTTTGCAGAAAAACTGCTACAAATCACACGCATGACATCACATACTCGTACATTCACAAGAAAACGAACGTCTATCCCTGATAGATAAATATAACAGCCAAATACTCCGAGGGATATTGTCGGAGATCTCTCAGAATTTTCTCTTGCAATATCGAAATTTACTTTCATAACAAAGATAACAATAGAGGAGATTCACTCGGTAAATATTGTATACTTGTTTCACAGATTAACTGACCTTAGTATTCGATTTGAAATAAACCGAGAAAGAGAAAAAAAAGGAGGATGAACAAAAGTTCCACATGTTTCAAATTGATTAAAGTTCATTTAAAAATTAAAAAAATTAACTTTAATCAATTTAAATAAAACTTTTTATGTGGAACTTTTTTTTCACTTCTAAATCCTCTTTTTTTCTGTTTCTCTCTCTCTCTCTTTCTCTCTCTCTCTCCATCTATCTATCTATCTATCTCTTTCTATATATATCATGTTTTATAGAATTTAAATTTATCATTTATTCAACAAATTTGAGTTTATGTTTCAACCAATTAAAATTAACAATAAATTTTAATGGAATGGAATGGAAATTTCCAATTTCGTTTTATATAACGCTCACGTGCCTAAGTCAAGTCCGATGAAACCGAAATACCTAATACTAATGTATTTTCAAATTACGTTACGTTGGAACGTTTCAATATTATATACGCCGTGATTTCGCGAACTCGCAGGCAGGCTGAACGGGTTAAGGTTACGCTAAATCGTGAACTATGAGTTATGGTTGTCAGACAGCAAGGAAGGAATTTCGCTATCAGCCCGGTGAAATATGCGCACGGAGATGGAGACTGTGTTCACTAATTCATGCGGCAGTAACCGTCGCTCCATATTTTGCATTCCATGAAAATGTATTTGTCTGTTTGAACGTTTACCTGTGGGCGCGGGTGCTTTGAGGCATTTGCGTGCGCGCGCGCGCGCGCGCGCGCGCGCGACATGCAGATTGCGCAATGTAAGCACGCAACCGTAACGCTTTGTGTGTATGTACGTGCGTAGGGCAGAGTCAGGTACCCTCAGGGTGAAGCGAGGTGAGGTTTCGCGGCGAACGGCGACATTTGTGCGGTGCTTTTCAAGCCGATCTACCATCTGCTACGCGATCAAACGTCGTCGCGCTTTATCGAGCTCCCGCCAATCCGCTCGTACAAATTGATTATGCACACAAATCGCCGTGATAAGCGCGCTAGACATTTTTCGAGAGGAGAATTCTCTCACCGCGAACACACGTTACGAATGTTACGATCCCTCGCTGCTCCCTTTTTACGCTTTTTACACGAGATACGAGCGTTACGTTGATCAATCGGTCGGCGGAAAAAAAGGTCCAGGGCGAGCATGAAAGCAATTACTACGTACACGTATCAGAGCAATCTCAATGTTTTCGAGAAAAATTCAGCAAACGTGTTTTTGGCAAGGCCGCGTAAGAAATCTATTTGAAAATTGTGCTTTATGACGCCTGTATTTTCCCGATGTTGCAAATTTATTAGAATAATATTTTGATATAATCCCGAAGCCATAAAACTTGATATTAACTATCGCGGGAATATTTGACAAAAGTATTGATTTGTGAGGCATTTTGCGCTATAATACCGTAAGTTATGAATTGGGGCATAGCTAACTAAAATAATATAAGTCATACATTTCTGTCGCACATCACACTAATTGATAAATCTGAAATTATAGTACAAAATATAAAAAAAAATAATAAATATAAGTAAATATAAATATTTAATAAAGTAGAAAAGTAAAAAAACTATTGCTTTTTCTTTTCTAAAATTTTAAAACTTTATTCATAATTTCACGTTCATAATTTAAAAAAAATGAAATTGTACCATTATTAATACAAGTATCCTTCATATATTAATTACTTTATATTGGAATACCAGCTCTCTCTTTCTGTCAGTAGGAGACACATGTTTGCTTTAAAAGATACACGTGTGATCAATCGACATTTTATGAATCAATTAACTAGTATTCGTGAAAAAAAATGATGAAAATTCCGCAAAAATAATTGGTCTCAATTAAAATTTTAACTACCCAAATTGGGCGCATCGATCAAAAAGCCGTCAAACATTTACACTCGCTAATCGGAAAGCTGTAATTCAACGATGATGTCTTATAATCTGTTCTGTATGAATTGATATGAAAAAAAAACGTTGACATGAAAAAAAAATTATAAAAATATTTCGTTTTTCGATACAATAGTTTTGTTGATATGAAATAATCAGCCATAAAAGCTTGAAATTATCACGTCATTTAAATAAACGATTAATAATTATCTCGCTTGCTATAAAAGGAAATTAATATATGCAGTATTAATTGCAAGTCGCAATTAAACAAAATTGCTCTGACAAAAATTATTCAAAACCGTCAAGTTTTGATTCATGAAAATATTATTATTACAAGATGATGAATAATACGAAAGAAAGAAAAATCATTTTTTTTACATTTTCTCTCTATTTCGTACATGTATAGCGTACAATCCATTATACACCGTATCGGTTTTCAATGCTATTATTATTATCGAGTAATTTAAATTTCCCAGAAAAATATCCCGATATCGTGTAAACTTTTAAGAACGTTTTTTTCACGTTAAAAATACTGTGTAATCTATACAACCGATACGAATTTATTGAATATAATATTATGAATATATAAGTAATAATTAATTAGATTGCGACGTTGTCGAGATCGAGAGCAGCTATATTCAACTCTTACATCAATGTGAATTCGCATTAACCTCCCAGCGCGCATTTGCGGCTTTTTTCAAACATATAATTTCGACTGAAACTTGATATCGAATCGCTGTAAGAAAATAGGAAAAAAAATGACATATTTTATGTATGTGTGTATTAGGCAAATTGCCGCGAGAGAAACATCTTTTTTCCTCTCTTTCTCTCTCTCTCTCGTTCGAGATCAATCTTCCTGCCGCACGCAAATTGTGGCACAATTGCAGGAAGAAAAAACCCACGAGAGAGAGAAACCTCAATTTTTTTCGCCGGCAGAAAATAATCCTCTTACCTCCATCGAGAAGATCCTCCCCTCGCATCCGCGATGATGATTCGGGTACTTGGCACAGGCTCGTCGAATTTCCCTTGAAGTGCCCTCGAGCTCGTAACGAAAGGGGATAGAAAAAGCGAGAGGGAGAAAGACTAAACGACCTTGACTCCGGAATTACTTCTCGGCGAGTTTACGCGGCCGCGGCGGTTTACGAGACGCGCGCCATCCGTTCACGACGCGTACGCGCCCGCATCTCGCTGCCCGTTCCTACGGGATGCGATAACGATGATGATCAACGACGACACGACACGACACGACACAGGTGGTTGGCGCGCGGGATCGTTTGGCCTCGCTCGCGCTCGAGAAAAGAGAGACGGAGGGAAACCGGAGAGCGAGAACGTTACCGAGTCGAGGCCGCGGGAAAAATTGCGCGGCGAAAGCGCGACTCGTGTCACGACGATTTCCCGCTGACGTAACGATCAGCTGTATCGACTGGCCGGGACGGGAGTCGTCGCGCGACTGAAACACCTCTCTCTGCGCTCTCTCGCGGCATCCCTATTCCGCCCGCCCCCGCGCGGTACATCCGCACCCTCTGCCGTCCCCCGGCGCGAGACTCTCTTTCGGCCTCTCTCTTTCCACCCCCCCTGCCCGTGTGGCGGCACCTCTTCCTCCTCTTCCATCATCGACGCATCCTCTTTCCATTGCTCCGCATCCTTCCACTTCCACGTCCTCTATCGCGCGCGTGTCATGTTCTGCAATTTTAGTGTGTGTATGTAGATTGGCTATAATTTTCCCTCTCTCCCTCTCTCTCTCTATCTTTCCCTCCCTCCCTTTTTCGCCGCATGATTAGAAAATTTAAAATATTCTATTATCGACAAGAAGGATATTCTTTCCGTTTTCATCCTTTCGATGGTATTTCGATAATAATAATAGACGTTCTATACTTGTGACATTGCCTGGGTTTGACATTTAGAAATTAATATCGAGTAAAAGATATATCGCATTCAAAATACAAGCTTATAAAAATATCTAAAAATATTCTGTTGATTTGAACTTTAGTTTTTTAAATCTGTACATTTTTTTACGATGCACATAATAAACATATACTCCTACATTCCTCCTGTGGAGTTACACTTCTCTAAAAATGGAAGTAAAAATTGGGTTTTTATTTTTTTCTTAAATTTGGAACAATTTAAAAAAATTAAATTGGATGGATATTTTCTACTAGTAAAAAGGTTATTTATTAATATTTTTTTCAGCCACCCGTATTGTTATAAAGGGATGAAATTACCCCTATTCAATTTTTTATTAGAACTTTTTATGAAAAACCTCCCTTAATTTTCGACAAAGAATCATCTTCTAAAATTTTTTACACTTATTAAGAAATCTGTATATATTGTGTGTGTGTATATATATATATATATATATATATATATATATATATATATAATATATTATATATATATTAAATATATATTAAATATATATATTAAATATATATATTAAATATATTGATCGTCATTGATTAGCTGCTGCGAAATCTTTTTTTCTTTCATAATTTCAAACTAGTCACGTATCACACAACACGAGATGCAGCATTGATTTTCTTTATTTTATTATCATTGATTCGACAATTACTTAAATATCGATAGCGCTCATATTTCAAATTTGAAACATGCATACTCTACATCGCACACATATCTTCCTATCTTTATTAAATATAGTTATGTAAATGCGAGGAAATGAGATTTGGAAGAGGAATTGGAGCAAGTTTCAAAACTCGCGTCTCAAAGGAAGTACGATTATTAGGTATAACACTAACTATTCCCCAGTGAGCATGGGAGTTAGACCGAATAGCACACAGTAGGAATTAGTTCACAACCCGGCTTAACAATTTCGCTATCCCTTTCTATAAACTATGATCCTACCTATGATATAGATGAAGATGGAACATTGGATTAGAGATTATCGATTTTGGTTCAAGAGGTCTTTGTAAGTTGAAATGAGAAAAAGTGTATATATATCTAAGAGAGAGAATTAGAAAGAGACTTTTTAACTTAAAATAGGATTCTCTTCATCTATTCTATAATTCCATTCACCCGTTGCCATTCGTCTTTCTATCTGTCTAATAATGACTAAATTGCTTCATCAATTTATGCAAAACTACTTTTCTTCTAAATTGGAATTTGAAAATTGACTTTGTCTAAGTTTTATACCGCATTCAAAAGGGTTCTTTCGAAGTAATGATGAAATGTAACGCTCATTTTTATTGTAATCGTGCCTGACTCGTCCTTCCCTTCCTCCAGTATCAATATATATCTGCGTTATAAAATTTATTTTCAATATTGCTGATGCAAATTACAATGCGTTAAAATAACACGAGTAGCTTTTACGAAACGATACTTTTTATTGGATCCTTTTCTTGGAGGAACAGCAGTGCACTTTCTTGTATTCACTTCACAGTGTCAATCCACCTGCCGATTTATATTCTACGGCAAATTCATGCTCCTCACGATTCTGTCTGCAAATAGCAATTTCGATACTGATATCGTGCAAGAAAGATGATGATATCATCCTAGTAAAAAGACTTGAAAATTCAGACAGGTACTTTATTCGTCATGTATATGTTTCGCATAATTTTTCTATAGATTTTTTCGTATAGAAAAGAATAAATTAAAAACAGCAATGATAATTGCATAATGCATATATTTATCTGTCAATTTTTCTCAACAACTTTTTATCACTACTTTGTGTAGTTTCCTTGCTTTATCGAGTGTACTGATAAAAGAAACTGTTGTACTTTCAAACAGCTACCAAACTTATTATGCGACCAGCTTTCTTTTATCGGCCAAGTATTTATATAACTACATATACATGCTTGTAATACAAAACAACTTTTTTTGCCCGTGCACTTGTACGGAATCCTATCTCGATCGTGTCAAAAAAGCGGATCAATTTTGCGAAATAATGCCATTCTTCTTCTTACAACGCAGTGCATTTGAGCATCGTATAATATAATCGATAGTTTATTCCAAAATATGTAGATACCGCGATACATTTCTTTTTGTTCTACTACCTTTTTATAATTAAAAATTTTAATTTTTTTAACTCGATTAGAAGAGATAAATTCTAATGCTTAAAGAAATATAATTAATGTAAAAGTTATATATACAAAATCTATTTCCTCTTCATATAAAAAGAAAAATTCTTAGAAAATTGTAGAAAATTGTTACTGATTTTCTTCTTACTTTGTTTTTAGATTACTTAGAAAGGACTCTTTGTACGTATATCAATTGAAAACAAAATTCAATTCGATTTAATTATATTCTGATAGATATGGATCGTGTGATTTAGAGGAGATTTGTGTTATCCGCTTTAAATTTTCCGGAAACTACGAATTGAACATCGCTGGTCGCACTTTATCTTCTCCACAGGAGCGCGTGCTTCGCACGCTACACGCCCGCATTGTGTCGACGAACTATTTTGACGGTAGACAGGCGCGAGATATGAGATAAAGTCGTTTCTGTTTGTATAGGTGTATAGAATTTTAATTTTCAATATCGCTCGGAACCACGCGGTATCGGTTTTCAAATACACCGCACATAACACATTCTTAGAGAAGGCATTTTTTCTCTCATCAACAGACTCGGGGGAGAGTTACACGTATCGTTACACGACGAAGCGTTTTTCATAAAACTTCGTGTCCCAGTTTGTCGCAAAAAGAAGAAAAAGATTTCGATGATTCCAGCGTAATAAATCGAAGTGTATTATTAAATCCTCATAAATCGCCGATTTTACTCGTGACGAAATAGCGTAACGAGTGAACGAGCACGTCGTCCAGGTCGTTAAGTATTGAAGCTGTGATCTTGCTTAAAATGCTCCCGAGCTTTTTGCGCAATTTGCCGCATGTCATATACCTATCGGGGGAGAGGCGGGAAAGGGGTCGCACGATCGAGCGATTTAGATCCAACAGGCGCCGCGCCGCCTGTGTGACATAATTTTCTTCGCCGTCGCCGACATCGAATGACATTCATCTTGCTGTCCGCTCTGTGTGATGTAGTTGCGTCATATCTCGCGGGGAAGAACTTGCCGCGATCAATAGGCACTTCTGTATATACGACGCCGGAAAATTAAGCCGGCCTCGACAAAGTTTTGCATTATGGAAAGTTCTCTTATCGGTCGAGCGGTCGGCGAAGTCCCTTTTGTGTAAACCGCTCGCCGGTGATGAGTGATCGAGGAGAGGGAAGGGGAAGCGGGGGCGTTATTACGCTCTTTCGCTTCTTCTTCTTCTTCGTCTTCTTCTGGGTTGCCTGGATAAATAATCCCGGTGTACATTATTGGGGGTGGCGGGGCATCTCGGAGAGATTGAAGGTGAAAATTTACATCTTCGCTATACATCCACTATGTGCACTCTCGAGATACTTCTTGCAGTTTTTCAACTTAAGAAATTTAGCAGAGGCAAGAGCCGAATATATTTTCTCGAATTTTGTAACGCTCTCCAATGTAAGCGAAGAACATGAGGAAGGCGAGGAAGGAAAATATGAGAATTTTAGTCGTCGTGCGTCACAAAGTTTTTCGACTGTACAGAGATAAAGGCATTTACGTCAAGAGCAAAACATGAAAACGCGCATACACATCTGCAAATAAAATAAAAAATGATATCAAAATGCGAATTAAATTTCAAGAGAGTGAAATTATTATTTAATTGATAATAATAGATACTAGTTTATGTTAGTAGTATATAGTTTTATATTTATACTTTTATCAAATTATATAATATTGAGTTATATATTTAATCAGAATTAACTAAAATTAATTAATTGTAATATTAATTATGCAAAGAAAGAGACTTCTTTCCAATATAATTTAAAAAATAGTGACATGTTCATATTTTAAGAAAATACGAGTGATTTTGCAGCAATCATTCAGTATGCATTTATTCTTAATTAATATTAATATCTCAATTAATTGTATACATATAAATGCACAGCATTTTACGTATCATCTTTTTTTAAAGAATAATTATTTTAATTTTAATTATTTACATAAATATACATAAAAACATTAATAATACATATTAATAATAAATATGTACTAATTAAAAATTTATTTTATATAAAAGAAATATCCAAATTCCTACAACTATAAGCTAAGGATTGCACATAAAATTATTTTCATTACATTTTTATCAGCTTATTTAATTGTGCATTGTTATGAGTGTTAGGTTTTAAAACTCTCATAAAAGAAATGTGCATATTGTCTAATGTATTGTAATTCAACAGCTAATATATTACATAAAATTGAAATTTAGTACCTTTATTACATGCTAATTGGCATGAAAAGACCTTATATCATATCGGATTATAGTGGAACATAAATAACTATGTCATATCATATATCAATATGTAACACATATTTTTAAATTATGTTTCCATATGTAAATATGACACAATTCAGAAAAACTGAATTTTAAAAAATCAAAGTTATCATCTGATTTCTTATCAAATATTCATTTTAATAAGGTTAATCTTTTAATGAAACTTTTTCCCTGCAACAGATATAAAAAATAGATTCAAAAATTATAATAAAATTATATAAAAGATCTTTGATCTTTTATATATATTGCATAACAATTTATATATATCTCTACTTCTTGGTTGCATACAATTGTAAAATTGCATGTAAATCTACTTTACATATAGTGTGTGTATTACAATATTTTTGCAGCTAAGAATATATCATTATGGGCGGAAACGGGAGAGTAAAAGTGCTTAGAAATCTTCATTATTACAGAAAAATACACATTGATTACAGACACCTTAATTACAGTCCACATTGCTGTCGCCAAAACATCTGTACTAATGTTTACTAAATATGATTCAACAGGTACGAGTATTATCTTTTATTAGGCTTTCTAAAAAGACTGTCTGGAAAGAAAAAGATACATATTCGGCACGTATACTTTCAACGCAGACGATTAATCGTCAAATTCATATGTTTGGTGAGGTTTCCAACGAAGCTGTTGAATACACCTAAAACATAATGATATATTAATTGAGAAAATCAATTAGCAAAACATTGGGGATAACAATTCATCAGTAATTAAGAATAATCATATACATATAAATTCTTTTTTTTATAATAAAAGTTGATAAGAATAATAATAAAATAACAATTTTTTTATAAGTTTAATAAATAAAAAATTTCATACTTTTTTGCAGATAACATAAATCCTTTTGGTCCACATGTAAATACACATCCTTCTGATGAACACTCGCCAATCAATTCTTTTAATAATTCATCTGATAAAGTACCGCGTCTACCTTCCCACTTATCTCCTGCTTGTGAAAGGATATGTGTAACTTTGAATCTAATAAAAAAGATAACAAATATTACGAGATTGAATTTAGTTTAATAAATTAAGTATCATTTCTTTTTTATTTTTATTTTTACAAAAATAGTTAAGCATAATAATAAAATACTAATATAATTATGCAGGCCAATATTTATATGTAGATGTAGTTTCTTTCTGCCCACTTTTCAGGCTTATTCATTCTGTGTGCGTACTTACTTCTTCTCTACAGACACTTTGTCAAGTTGTGTCACATAAAACATATTGTCTTCGTCCTTATTGAAGTTTAGAAGATTGATTAATGTTCTGAAAAAGTATTAGATAAATTAGGGGTAACAAATACAAAAGTAAATAATATTATATCGTTACTAATTAGACTATTGTTATCGATACAATTAATATCATGTTTTTCATTATTTTGTTGTTATTCCGTATTATTTTAAAAATTTAAAAACGAGAGAAATTAAGATTTAAGAAAGCAAAATCTCAATAAACCGAAAATCTATACACTTATACTTACACACTGCGTCTTGCTAGTGCTCGCTGAATTATTCCTAACATTACGGTTAAACCCGTTCCACCTGCCAACATATGAATGACAGGATACCGATCGAAAGACTCGGTTACAAAGGCACCTAAACCATTGCTCATAGTAAGGGTTTGGCCAGGTTCTAATTTAGTGATGGACGGACTGAGTGCACCATTCGGATATCGCTTTATCATTAAGCAAATACAATCTGGCTTGTAATTTGGCGCCATATCTTCAGGATGAAGGCACGGTGGGACAGGCGTGTATGACCTTGATACTTCCATTCCTACAACAAACATAACAGAATATATTAGTATATTTTTGTACAATATTTTCACGAATATATCTATATAAACAAAAGATATCCAAAGCAAATATTTATATTATTATATACTTACCCATTACATTCATTTTAACTTCTATGTGTCTACCAATGGGAATAAGTTCTAGAAAATCTGTTGCACGTAAAACTAACAAATTAACTAGTTTGCAAAGGGGTGTATTACTGAGTACTTTGTACTCTTTGTACGTGCGTTTGCTTGTGATTGATTCTCGCGATAATGTATGATTTCCCTGAGATTTCCAAATATCTTTAATCTTCTTTGTGAATGTAAAATCTACCTGCAACATTTAAATCACAAATTTATGTTTAAAAATAAATATGTACCTTGTTTTTACATGAACTTATTTAAGATAATTTACCTGCATTATATCGAAATCTCTTTTATACAATGGCGGCCATTCCACATCTGCGATTAATTCGAGCTCATCGATGATAATGTGCTTTTCGAAAATCAGCTTAAAGATGAGTTTTGAATCACTTAACCTTTGCAATTGATAATATACTCCTTGGAAGTCGCGTATAGTTTTATAAAAGAGCGTGATAGAATTAGATGTTTGCCGCCAATCCATATTTACATTAAATGAATCTGAAGAATTTTCTTCAACTGTTTTTTGTGCTAAAACAATGAGATATTATTACTAATAATCATCTTACAATTTATTTGATGCTTAATTAAATATAAAACTCAATTAATTCTATCTCTTTGTTCATTTTTATTTTAGTTATAAATCATTAACACACATGGTCGAAACGTCGTATTAATAAACTAAAAATTTTTTTTGGCTAGTTTGGTTGACTACAGTTTTTCTATTGATCCTTTGATTACTCGACTAGCGACATTAAATTATTTACAATTATAAATCATTAATTTAATATATAGATATATATAATAATATAATAAATCCAATAGAGGCATTTGAATAAAAGCATCTTAATTTATAAGTGAAACAATTAAAAATAAATAGTTAAAACAATTAAAAATAAATTTGTAAAAATTAAAACTTTTAAGAATAATATAATTTTAATGTTTATCGATTTTCATAAAAAACAAGAGAAATTATTCGATTAACTTTGAGCAATTGTGTCCACAAATATGTATGATAAATGTAATAAACCAATACGATCTACCAATTCAGCAATGCTCTTCTAAATATAAATGACCCAGAAAACAGTTCGATGCAACAGCTACAATAGGACTCACCAGTGGAACTTTTGCTTAAACCTAACGTCACGGACGAACGGTTGTTCGCACTCGAAACCGACCTTTCCGTTATGGAAGAAATACTCGACGTGGAAGAAACACCGCGGCTTAATCTGCCTACGACGCATTTTTTTAAAATGCTCTGGTAATTCACCCAAGCGTGAACCTGGAATTAACGATCTACGGATACATAAAAATAATTACTTAGCGAGATGACGCTGCAATACAATATAATCATACGATGGCGAATAAAGGACCTTACGTTTTCGAATAACTTTGTAGCGTCCTTCCCAACGCCTCTCATCAATTCGTCGACTCCACCTGGATGAAAATCCATATAACGCGTAACATTGAATACTATCCCTGCAAACGAAATCGAATGTTAAGACCGAAAAACTCAAAGTTTAAGTTACTTCGAATTTTGGGCGACAATAAAATTCCATTTATGTGCACATAAATTAAAAATAAGTAGCAAAAGCTCGCTGAAGTATATTTTAATTATCATATAAATAATTACATAATTTAACGCTACGATTTTTTTATGTATAGCATATTAAACATGTTTGCAGATAGTTGATAATGACAAAGAGGTTCTTCTTTTAATGTAACAGCATAAAATACAAACCACATATCGCGATCCAAGCGTCGGTTTGCTTATTATGATTAGCGAGCTCAGATAATGTTACGACTCGTTGTACACCACCAACTCCAGTTAAATCAACTCCCGAGTTACCTAGACGGATCCAATCCATCAGACTATGCCCCGGTGCTAAAGCTGTCTTATTTCGTGGGTTTCCTGTAAGAGAATAACGAAGATAAGAATCGAAATTGATCATTCATTATACTTACACTCTAAATTGTGCATTAGAGACACGATAAACTTATTTAGGAAGAAATAAAACAGTATATTCTTATATCCTAATTTCAAAATTTTAATGCCTGTAATCAATTTAATTTTTGTATCTGATTTTCAATTAATTATCATCATTAAAATTATCATATAAAATAAAAATTAGTTTATTACTTCAATTCCATGTGAATTCTTAATTCGATTTGTTTTTTAACTTTTTTAACTGATAATCTATTTGAAATATTATCACTTTACTTTATCATATTTTTTAAATTATCGCATGTTTCAAAAGTTGTTCTTTCCGCTTTTTTCACCCACGCAATATACGTCATCTATATATTTACTACATAAATTAGTGCTTGAAAGCATAGGCACATTTACCCATAACGATGAGCATGTGCACGTACACGTGATCGCGAAAATAGATTAATTGGTAATTACACTAATTACTAACCATCCTGAATCTGCAGACCAAGACTCTGCGGAGAGCCATCGCCATCCGCGGCGGAAACCAAAGAAGCGCCGCAACATCGTGGCATTTTTTCATGGGAACGACAAGAATCGCGGAGACACGGTCATTTTCATAATTATTTTTTTTTTAAAAAAGGAAGAAGGCGAAGACCACAAAAAATTCTCAGATTATCTCAATTTTTGATACTTTTAATACCACTTGAAAATTTTAATTTTCTTCACGCATACGAGACAGAACAGAAAAGGTAAACGAAGTTTCTGTCCTTGAAAGAAATGATAAACAAAACATTATTATTTTAGTATCAAACGCTAGAGATGTAATAATGTCACAGGTAAATATCGTGGTGCGTGTCAACTATGCGTAGAAACTATGAATATGCGTATATATTTGTTAAATAAGAAAACAATTTTTATAAAAAAAAATCTACAGAATATTTTTTAGTCAAATTTTTTAAATTGATTTTTCCTTAACAATAATATATATCGCGAAAGATCATTATTTTTTGCAGTTTTCAATTTTTTCATCATAAATAAATATCTTCGTAATGATTAAAAGTCTATTAAAGATTCATTTGTGATCAATGAACTAGAGAGCGTATTAGTTTTGTTAACTTTTCAACTCTACAAAGTATAATATAGTTTACGAAAATCCCTTCCTTTTTCAATCGCTTGTAACCAGCAAACTATTGACGTTTCGATTGGTTACGCTATATAACAATTAAAACCAATTAACTAATTAAAGTACAAGTAATTACGAATGTTTAGTTAATTCATGAGGCGGAAATACCATGTGAATTTAATTTTAAACAAATCTTTCATGGATTCGCAAATATCGTTTACCACATCATCGATGGCAAATTTTTAATCCAATATCTAATATGCCGATAATCAATTCGGACACCTGTCTTTGATATCTGATGCCTTATATTTATCTTTAATTGCAATTTTCAAGGTAATATAATTTCGCTTTTAATATTTTGTAATTTTCATTATTATATTGCATGCTTTTTGTCTATTATTCCAAATACATTTCACATGTATTATTTTTTTTACGCGAAATAGTCTGATAAATTTATAGTATCAGTTTTCCGTTTGTAAAAATATATACATGTATATGGCATAATGTAAAAATATTTATCGTACGTTATAAAATTTTGATTATCTCTTTTTAGGAAATTTTAAATAAAGTTTGTTTATTTCGTTTTAGTAAATTTTAAATAAAGTGCAAAACTCTTCCATCTCGATATAATTATAATTAGCACCATCCAACACGCTAAAAAGTCAAATAGTTATCAAGTTAATAATTAAAGAGCTCAAAGTGGAATTCTTCAAGAAGATACACTCGATTGTTATAATATCTGATTTGATGAAACTTGTAATGAAAGAGGAAAAGTTGAAATGAATGTCCCGTTTCAACAATGCTACTCGAATTAATTTCATAGTTTCGATTAAGCGCAGTTATAGCAGAAAATGGTTTCGACCATTTGTGTGGTTTAGGTCACGATCGATCCAACCTAATAATAATAAAGATACGAGAAGGACCATTTATTATGCATCGGCGAAACGACGCGCGTGTTTAACGGTGCTCACTCAATACGGTATACCCGAAGAGGGATGATTTAATCTGTCATCTACATTAACGGAGGAAGCAACGTGCGACGTTCAAGTGCGATGATCGTGAAAACGAGAGGCGAAAAATCCACGAAACAGGAATCGAGCGACGAGAAAGCGAGATCCCGGTGATCTCGTGGTGAAGGACCGGAGGGTACTGCGCTGAAACACGCGGCCGAATATAACCCTGAGACAGGTAGATCAATATAGTAGCGATGGACGACGCTCAGCTCAACACGCAGGATCTCTTGCCAGTCTCGGAGCGTGCTCCTCTACCGAGATCAACGGCAGGGAAAGTCAGTAACACGACAGATTATTGATCATTCGATTCCGATTCAATAATAGAACGCGTATTGTTTGAATGAAATAATAAGACTCGCACGCTCTCATGGAATATAAGTGCGTATAAATCGTGCAAAATATGGAAAAACAAAATTTTCTCTCTCCTGCATACTAGTTTTTACTTTCCGTTTCACAGAACTTTTTGCATCAAACGATATAAACGATTGAAACTGATATGAACACGATATGAAAAAATTTTATTCTTTGCAAGAATACGAGAAAGTATTCCGATAAAAAATATGTGTTTTACGTTTTTTTTATTTTTATTTTTATAGAGGTTTTTCTACAAAATGAAAAGGTACACTATTTCTCCCACTTTAATTGACTGGAAAAATCAATATTTATAAAAGAGACATTCTTACCGGTAGCAGATCCGGACGACGGCATTGTATCAGTTTTTGCTTTCACTTGCTCGGGTCTAATGACTCCAGTAGGTAACATTAAAGTGTTTTTGACCAATAGACTGGTAGGTGAAGACGTTTTAACGTCCATTTTCTTCATTTTTTCTTGAATATCATTAGTATCGAAACTCTGACATTTATTTTTTTCACTTTTATCTCTCGGTTGAATCCCCGAAGAAACGTTCTTCTTCGTCGATTCCATCAGCTTCCTTTGAAATACAAGCAGTTTGAAAAAATAAAAGCGTTATGCTTTTTCAGATGCATCCCATAAACACTGCATTTAGCTCTATTATCAGTAGAAATCTGCCATACATATCATAAAAATAATACATAATTATATCTAAAAAAGAGAAACATTAAAAAAAATTACATTTTGTAAATTAAAATATTGTATTATTCATTATATTTATTAAACAAAAATAGTAATTAATTATTTTAAATGAAATTTAAATCATTTAAAGCATAGAATGATATAAATATTAAATACGGAAGTAAAATAACAAATATGAAATGTTTAATCATATTATTCTCTCACAATATTAAACATTATCAAAATTTTCATTTTAATTAACATTATTAAAATGACTTTAGTAACTTCTTTATATATCGCACAAGTTATTTCTTTCTGAGTTATAAGTGCATTAATACAACTTCTGAAATTAAGAATTTATTAAGATATTGTAGCAACACATGCATTATTACATGCGCTGATCATAGAGTTCATCATAGAATCATCCTCGTTTATTATATGGTTTAAAATTTAGAAAGCGAGATACGTCAGAGCACGATTAACATTTGCTTTCGATTCGCTTTCTTTGTACATTTCAGTTTCTCTGCATAATTTTAATTATATCTCGATAAACTTGGTATATTTATAGTCGATGTGCGGTTTCAATAGAATGGAAAAAAACTCCAATAGATATTGATGTTAAAAGGCATGATTTTTTGCTGATTTTGACTTTATCTGTATTAAAATCTTAAAGATTAGATATATTTTAAATTAGCAATTAAAAATAGTAATCTTGTGTATCCAATATAAATCTCCATACAGAAAATATTTTAATAAATAATATTTCCTATTAAATAATATTTTGTTTGTTTTAATTTTGTTTCATTTTTACTCATTGTATATATTTAAAAAAAATATAAGATTAAAATAGAAATTCTTGATAGTTTATCCGTAGACAATAAATAAGATTTCTCCATAGACAATAATTTAAAAAATTAATATAATAATTAATTAAGGTTTATCTATGGACAATAATTTAAAAAATTGCAATTAACATGATAGTTAACTGCTATGTTAATTGTTTAAATTATTGTCTATGGATAAATCTTAATTATTGTCCACGAATAAACCATCAAGAACTTCTATTTTAATCTTATATATATATATATATATATATATATATATATATATATACACATACACACACACATACATTAATTTGAATCCTAATTGTATGAGTCTATTTAAGATAAATGAGAAAGAATAAAAGAGAAATCTATTAAAACTATTAAATTAAAAATAAATCATTTAATTTTCTTACATCAAAAAGATATAAGAAAGTTATTATTGTGCTATGTAATAATATTAAGGATTAAAAAAATTGAATAATTTCGAGAAATGTTTTAGCATGTAAAATTGCCTCCGACTCGACTCGGTTTTCGTTCGTGACTTGCAAAAGATCTCGACGACATTCTCGCTGATAAAAGAGTAGAGTAATAATAAAATTACGCAGAGCGTTAAACAGTCTTTGTCGTGTGATTAGGAGGTAATTGGTCGCAATGAGAGACATTTGGTCTGTTATACATACATCAATGAATATGTGCAGAGCTTGGCTTCTGTTGCCTTTCAAATATTTGAGCCTTAAACGAAATATTATTCGGGATAGAAGCGCGTTTTACGCTTTATTTATATATCGCAAAATATAAAGCGTCAAATTATAATTAAAACAAAAAATTAATTCTAATAATTTATGCAAGTCTACAATGTTTAAAATAAAAGAGAATCTTACGTTCCATATATTGCGTGCACGATATTGATTCGAGTCTCTATTGTTACATTTATAGACTTCTCAATAGACGATTCATAAATACGCATCCAGTTTACCTCGACATTAAAAAGACTGTTTACTTATTTGTATAAGCGATCAAGCAAGCGTCGTCTATAAGTCTATACTAGTTTTTCAAAATAGGTTTAGTCATATCAAGTTTCTAGCACGCGTAAGAATAAAGTGAAACAAAATAATTACTTAGCAATAAATAAATGATTATTCTAGCGATAAAATTGCATATGCACACATATATATGCATATATTATACAAAATAATGTTTTATCATAACACAACGAATGTTTTGCAATATGTCATGTAATATGTTCAGATAAGATAATATATGCATCTCTCTGCAAGATTATACAGTTTTATTTATTTATCGATAAATATATAAACGTGAATAGCTTCATTTCCCGTGTTGCCTGTATCAGAAAGCAATTACATAGATAAGTGGAAAATAAATGTTGCGTAACTCAAATATCACTCACGAGTTCGACTCTTCAATGGTTTGACGTGTATGCGTGTGTATTTTTCGCGCTAATTTTACGTCGCAATTTCCGTTGCTGCGGAATCATCCTCGTCATCCTCGTCGTCAAAGAATCGTGAACTTACCAAAATTACTCTCATATTTCAGTCCCTCTTCGACATGCTTGCAATGTATGCGGATTAACTGTCGCAAATTAGGTTATCTTGTTCAGCTGCCGGGTGATATTTACGTCTGTCAGCCGTAGAGGACGATTAAACGCGCGGGCGAGCACGTGCCGAATATCACGATAGTTTACACTTACACGAATACACGCGTGCGCCTCGCCGGAAGGACTTAAACGACCTCGGATAATCGCTAGTCACGCTTCGGAGAGACGAGAGGTTAGGACATTCCGTTCCGACTGTTCCGCCAGCTGGTGGAACGTCTCGTCTAGGGCCGTATCTAAAATTTGACACACGACACACACGTGTCGCGTCACTTGTTTACGACCCACTTCCCTTCGGTTTATTTCGAAAAATTTATTTTTCTCTTGTAAAAATGAGAAAAAAACGTCGACGAAATGATAATTAGTACACCCTGATCGGTGGAAAAAAAATTCTATCGATCGAAACGTTGATGATACCGCAACGATTATCCGTGTCTTTTAAAAAGACTGAGATTTAAATTACAATTCAACGTTATCTCGTGTATATGAGATTATGTATCTCGCGCCAGACAGCAGGTCCATCTTCAAGGTTGCTCCTGCCGTTCACGTCCGCTCGTCTCGCGCCTATATTCACGTCGCGCGCAGCTGCTAGACTCGTGACAGTTCGGGACAGCTCGGGAGGCGTCGAGCCTGAGATCGGGAGTGAATCGCGCGGCGTATTCTACACGGTGGCATATTCATGTACGCATGTACACACATATATCTACGTATATATACGGTGAATACGGTGGGTGGGTGGCTGTTCGTCGATGTCAGTGTGCTCATCGCTCCTTGAAAGAAGCGAGTCGCGATCGCGGCGGCAGTCGACGTTTATCTGGTGGTCGAAAATAAAAAAATCGCCGACACGGCCGAACAAGGCGGACATAGAGCGGATTGCATCTCGTGTAAACATCGTCCTTGTCGTCGATGACTCCTTCGAACCGTTCGCCTCATCGGTGAGTTCTTGTCGGCTCTCGCCTCTCGTATCCGCCCGGTCAGATTCACGCTGAATAAATTCTCTCCTTGACTCTAATTTTCCTTTCTCTTTAGCTGACGCGGCGCATCAAAACGCGTAAGCGTCCAAACAACCATAAATCGGGTAGTTTATTCCTGCGAGAGATCATAGTATCATAGCGGAGAGATTCGTCGTGAACGCGGTAAGATTCCTTCGGGATCGATTCATCAGTGCGTGGCTTATCGTACGTTGATATCTCGCAGGAGGAAGAAATAGTCATCTCGTGAGAACCGCGCGTGTTTCACGGCTGAGAATTATAAATAACAACATCATCGGTTAAAACGGTCGGCTTCCGATGGAGCCTGTTAAAGAGGAACTGGACGGATCAGCTGTAAAAGTTAATAAATCTAATGCAAGATTCGTGAGTTTGATATTGCACGAAGCGCTTTTAAAACGTAAGAGTAATTAATTTGTGTGAGTTGAGGTGAAGATTTGCTCTGTAGAATTAAAGTTTTCATTTTTATGTACAAGTACAAGTTAAAGTCATGGTATAATTATTATAGAAATTAAGTTTCACATAAGATAATTATATAATATTTAAATTAGAATATTTGCGAAATATAGAATATTTTGAAAAATTATATTTTTAATTAAATTATATTTTATAGAAAGAATCTTTGCTTTAATTCACACACACATACATACGCAAAGTTATGATTGATTTTATATTATAAAAGGCTAAAAGTGCGCAACGTCAAATTCATCGACCTCGAAATAAATTTTGATGTAACTGATCCGTCCAGTTCCTCCTTAATTATTCACTGGTGTATTTCAGAACAAGTCGCTTTTCTTGACAATCCCTTGATGAGAGAAAGAGAGAAAGAGAGAAAGCGAGAAAGCGAGTTCTAAGCTAAGTGAATGTCAACGACTGATATATGACTACAAGTTAAATAGCTTTTCCGGTCGGCGAAATTCCTACGATCGATCAGATCGCAGACATAATATATACATATTTCTAGGAATCGATTCCACGATATATCACACACACACATATTTCCGAGAATCGATCACAAATAAAAAAAAAGTATTAACGTCAGCGCGTTAATATATCGGAAATACACTAGTGTCACGGGACGTTTGCGTGCAACATAATTTTTTTTTATATTTTTTCTCCGGTAGTATCTTAACCACTTCTGACGTGCGCTTTTGATATTCGATAATCTCGAGTAATTAATTCGATAATCTCGAATAATTAATTCCTGGCTAATTATTGATTCGCTGCCCCGCGTCCTCCTCCCATCCTCACGCATTACAGTTCCTGCCAAACGAAGGAGAAATAAATTATTAATCGAATACAATTTATATACATGTCAATTATATAATTATATGCAATGATAAAGAGATGATTATTTATGGAGGAAGGTTTTGTCATGTTTATATATCGCTTCATTTCGCTCGCTAGAAGTCTATTTTTCCTGGTAAGTATTAATAATTCATGATTCTATATTTAAATATTGTGCAGCATTGCAAACTTCGCTCTTAAAAAGATGTCAATTGTAAAAATATTAAAAGAACTTTTTTTAAGTGTAATGCAAATTATGCGCAACAGTAAATGAACTTTAAACTTGCGCGAGTAGATAGGAAGTTTATATCATCGAATGACTTAATTAACAGTAACACACGGTTTAATGACGAATAATGATGATGAGTTAATACATGTAACGTGTGTACATATTTTTTCAAAATACAGTATTCTATCGATTATAATACAATAATACAGATTCGTCGAGATGTCCGACACATCGTTCGAAATGTGTGTGTGTGTGTGCGTCTTTAATAAGATACTATTGAATTTTCTGCTCGCACTTGCCCTTACACTACTGCATTTCAATCGTATTATCTTTATTCGTGTACGTGGTAATACTTTAATCGTCTATCTCGAGTGATTGCAAAATAACCTTGTACCGACGAGAAGCATTTTGTGTCGGCATTTAAAGTACATATAACAGTCAAACACATGCGAGTAACGTACAATTTACAAATATTAGAGATCATTACTGAAAAATAAGGACATAAATCTAATTTGTCGTTTAATTTTGTCCCAAAATATAAAAAATATATTTATATAAACCTCATTTTATATAATATTAAATATATCCTGAACTATATAATTTATTATACATATTCTGACATTAAATATTAATTTCATTATATTAACATTACACAAGAATTATATATTAAAAGTAATCAATTTGCAATTTGATCTCTTCAAAGAAAAATTGATTAAGAATTTATAATAATTTATTATAATTTTTCAATAATGTAACAAGCAAAATTATATTACATTTTTATCTAGTTTGAGTCTGAGTTTTTATATTAAATTATTATTGTGAAATATTATGTGAAAACTTGTACTTTTAAAGTTTGAGTCTCAAAGTCTCTTTATCTTTCAGTGTTAAATATAATAATGTTATCATTAAAATTTTAACAATTATGTGTGAATGAAGGCAAATTGTGTGTGAAAAACTTAACTGTAGACGCAAAAGTACATACAGTTGTCCTCTTAATTTTGTTATTTGTAAAGCTATTTAAAGCGTATTGTGTCTGTCAACCTTGATACGTAATTTTCCGATTACATCATTAATGGTTATTCACTGTGACAAGTGCGTAAGCATGTTGTTGAATCCTAGCTCTTGGATCGATCTAGGAATATTAATGCGATTTTTCTTGCACTGATTATGCGTCTCGCCTCTTACTTATTATGACTGTCATTTATCACCAACGTATCGGTTAAATCATTGTTGTAAAGTGAGAAGAGAACACATAATCGCACATGATATATTGTGCAATATATTGTTTACTAAATGTTGTATCGTTATTCCTTATTACAGAATTATAGACCTATTCAGCGATTTTTTACTAAATCGGTCAACTTTGCACTTTGATCCATAATTTTGTTTTTTATGTTTTCTTTTTATAATAAAAAGATATTAAAGAATATCAGTTATTTTTCTTTAACATAATATGTTCTATAAAATGTAGAATTAGAAAATAAATTATATATATATATATATATATATATATATATATATATATAATATATATGTAAAATTTACACAATATGATGATAACATATAATTTTATGTTTTATAATTTTCATCTTTTTTTTTACATCATATTTATGATTAAACACGAAGTAATAAAAAATTAAACCTTTTTTTTATCCTAATATCTTTCCTATCGCAATCTATTTTAATTACGATAAATGTATGCTTTAATTTAGTAATAAATTTAATACTAAATTCGTTAAGAGAATTGAAAACATTGTATTTTATAATGTTAGATAATATATGAAAACATAGATGATATGTAATTTATACGAATGATATATATATATATATATATATATATATATATATATATGCAAATGCATAGAGGAATATATATATATATATATATATATATATATATATATGCAAATGCATAGAGAAACATAAATTAAAAATTTTAATTATATCGCGATCAAATATACTCACATATTATCTTGTGCACACATCGAGATAATCTCATTTCAAACACATAACGAGAGAAATTTATTAATAAAGTTTAATTTATAATGAATTTTATTATTATATTTACGAAATTAAATTTAGGAAAAAGGAATTTTTACAATTAATGTAAAATGTAAATGTATTTAAAAATTGCTCTTTTTAAAATCTTTAAATGCATTTTACATGTCATTCTTTTAAAATGCATTTAAAAATATCTCTTAAAGAATGTGGTTAAACTGCTTTTAAGAATGTAGTTTGGAACTGCATTTTAATTAAAACTTGCATGTATTTCGACTAACTCGGCAATATGAATGCATTAGAATAATGAAAAGCATGGATTAAACTTTTTCTCTTTACAGGTGAATATCAATTGAAGGGCAAACGCGTGGCAAGATGCAAATTAGGCAAATGCTGAACGTGCTCCATCGCTTTCTGGAACTGATCGTGAGAGGAATATTACTATTAATTGCGTACATCAGTGGACCGGCAGAATCTCAACCACCTATCAAAGATTTAACTCTCTTACACAGCGCGACTACTTTAGCGTTAAAAATTCGAAATAGACAAGTAAGTCTCTTTTTATCCTTAAACTCTTTGCTGAATCTTTTTTTCGATCATTCTCAATAGTTTATTTCTGTTTCAAATCATTCTTCATAGATTTTAATCTATTTCCTGTTTCAAATCGTCTAATGACAAAAGAAGGACAAAATCTATTTCATTACATGACTAATAGCATTATAATATCTAAATTTATATATATATATATATATATATATATATATATAATAAATATAACAAAAATATAATATGAATCCCAAATCATACAACGATTCCTATAAATATATTATATTTTCTATCTTTTTGTTTCGTTAATTATTTTATATATATAAAAAATAGCCTTCTTTCTTCTTTGGTCCTTATCACAATAAAAATATCTAATTCTCATCTACTTATGCGATACATTTGCTTATTATACCGATTAAGTTGATAATGCAATTGCTTATCATTCACAGTTAACTTCAGAGGAAGTGATATCTTCATATATAGAAAGAATTAAAGAAATTCAACCGATACTCAACTGTGTAGTCGCAGAACGTTTTAAGGAAGCTCTTGAGGAAGCAAGAAAATGTGACGAATTATTGAAATCTCAGGACGCTCCGTCCGCAGATTTGTTGGCCAAAGAGAAACCATTGTTTGGTGTACCTTTTACTACCAAGGTAATTTTTATATTTTCATCAATTTTCAATTTCATTAGCTAATAGAAAGATATAATAAAGAGATTAATGATAACGATTTGGTTTTTATCTTCATATCATCTATATTAATATCATAAAATTGTGCGATTATAATCTAAGAGGGAAAATTTTAATTATTATAATTTTTCAATTACTTTATGACTTTTCAATTATTATATCGCAGGACTGTATCAGGATGGCGAACATGCATCAGACAGCTGGCCTAGTTATAAGAAAGAACATTGTTGCTGATAGAGATGCAGAAGTGATAAAATTAATGAGGTCAGCTGGAGCTATACCTCTGGCATTGACAAATGTTTCAGAGTTGGCAATGTGGTGGGAAAGCACTAACTATCTGTTTGGTACCACCAAGAATCCCTACAATACGAGGTACATTATCGGCATAATATATAGTATATGTGACAATATTCATTAAAGTTTATTAAATTATTTATCAAAATTTTAAATTATTGAAAAAATACAAAATACAAAAAATAAATATAAAATAAATCAGTTTTATTAGTAGACGTTATAACGATTGATAGTATAAAATTAACTATTATATTTTAATTTAATGTTCAATATGTATGTTAATAGATATAATCTACGATATAATCCAATTTCCAATATTTTACTTTGAATTTAAGTATATAACAAAAATTGTAATCGACAATATTTTTTATTTTCCTTTACGACTTTTTTCATTATAATTCACTTTCAGACACATTGTAGGCGGTTCTTCGGGTGGCGAAGGTTGCATACAAGCAGCAGCTGGATCGCCGCTTGGAATTGGCTCAGATATTGGCGGCTCTATTCGTATGCCGGCATTTTTTAATGGGATTTTTGGCCATAAACCATCTAAGGGTGAGGAAAATTGAAAATTTGACTAACGTGCATGTTTCTTATTATCGACTTCTCACGACAATATCATTTTTATTATAGGAATAGTCTCTAATGATGGTCAATATCCTAGTGCGCACAGTGATGACCAAGATCAATTACTCGCCATTGGACCAATGTGTAGATACGCGCAAGATATTACATTAACTCTTAAGATACTCGCAAATAAGAATGTCGACCTACTGAAGCTGGATCAAAAAGTGGATATCTCACAAATCAAGGCAAATTGATTTAACATTCCATAGTTAACTTCTCTTTAACCTAATGTTACTTTATATATACATGCTTTTGCAAGGAAAAACGAGGTTAATAAGTTTATCATATAATAAACATGAAACGATGTTCTGTACGGATTTAGATTTATTATATGGAGGACGACGGCGGTCAATATCTAATTTCCCCCGTGGATCCAGAAATAAAGGATGCAATGAGAAGAATATTGAAGTATTTTGAGAAGGCGCACAAAATTAAAGCTACAAAATTGTCTATAAAGAAATTAAAAAAGGGAATAGCTCTCTGGATGGCAAATATGACAGCCAAAGATGAAAAGGACTTTTCATACGAGTTAACCAATAGGAAAGGTCACATCAATATTTGGTGGGAATTCGTTAAGTGGATGCTATTTATGAGCGATCACACCTTGGTTGCTCTTCTCACTGCCGCATTCGAAAGATTCGGTATCAAATATGGAAGTGAAGAACACATTCGACTTATGCAACAAAGTAAAGATCTCCGTCAAGAGTTTAAGGTGCAATTCTTTAAAGAGAAATTTATATATAATATGAATTGTTTGAATCCTACCATATTATTTGCAATATTAATTTTTGTATAACACTTTTTCTGTTTCTCAGGATATTTTGGGAGAGGATGGTGTGTTTTTGTATCCAACCCATCCAACTGCAGCTCCAATGCATTATGAACCGTTGTTCAAACCGTTCAATTTTTCTTACACTGCAATAATTAATGTGTTAGGCCTACCAGCTACGGCTTGTCCGTTAGGTTTAAATAAACAAGGGCTTCCCATTGGTATACAGGTGCATATTGCATTGCATGATATTTTTACGTAAAATTATAAAGATATCACGTTTTAAATAACATATTTTTTTAATCACACAGGTCGTAGCAGGACTTCACCAAGATCGTTTGACACTTGCTGTTGCAGAAGAATTGGAACGAGGTTTCGGAGGCTGGGTACCTCCGGCAATAGTTTAACATCAGTACTATCATAGACAATAATTCAATGAATGAATGGCATACACATAACGCCTCATCTTACCAAACCCTGCCATCTTTTTCTTGTAAAGTATTGTGAACTATTTATATCAAAGATTTCATATGTGCGAATACATTATCAAGATAAAGTACAAACATATATATATATATATATATGAAGATATTATATATTTGACATTTATTATATATATATATATATGTATATGCATTTAATATAAAATGTATAATTTGTTACATTACTTGATATTTTGTAAGTTTCATGATACAGAGTACACGATACATTATTATTAATGCATTTATGAAGTTCCAAGAAAATATTTGTATTATAATATCTCTAAATATGAGAATTGTATTCTTTTTCAATTTTGTGACCAATTGTTGATTAGGATTCCTTGATATAATATAATGATTAATGTTGCGATCAATATTCACATAGCCAATTGTACTGATATTGAGACAGTATTATCTAATTTGATATAAAATTGGAATGCCATCGCGTATGTGCACTCTTACATGAGAAAAGAAAAAAACCTGAATTTTTTCTCAAATATATATGACAAAATAATTGTATATATTCACAATTATATATCTTAAATCAGTATATTTATATATACCTCATAGATTTCTACATAGAATTTTCTATTTTCATACGTGATATATGTAAACTCAGATGGTAGGAGGGTGCTTTTGGTGATGATATAAGACGTTCAATGTTATTTAAAATATGTATTGATATGTTGAGAATTTATATATATATATATATATATATATATTTATACATATATTTTATCTACCAAGAAATAAATTTGTATTATATTATTTTATTTTTCATAATTATATTCTTATCTATATCCATTAATTCCTTTTTCCACTACTCTGCCATATATGTTGACACATGTAAACTATTTATTAATACTTCCACAAAAATATGCATATTGAGAGATACCTTTCAAAATGAATTAAGTACTTTTTGTCGGTATAATATAAAACAAAATATTGTTGTGCGTTTAAAATGTTATTTTAGTTTATATGTATCTAACGCGCGCGCGCGCGCGTGTGTGTATGTGTTATATCACGTCAAAAATTTATAATATGCTTGTAGTGCATATCAAATCATTTATTTTAAGCATATATTTTAAGAATATTTTTGATTTACTAATTTTAATAAATATTTTATTGTGGAATACACTACACACATATATACATACATATATATTTAAAATGCAAATATGAAAAAGATTTATTAATGAGATACGCAATCATATTGGAAGAACAAGTTTCAATAGTTTCTTTGAAATAGTTCGAACTGAGAAAATTTTATTTCAATTTATAAATATCTAAAGACTGTCTTTCTATATTTAAAAAAAATATAAGTAACATTGTGTATCAGAGATATTTTTGTTGCTAAATTTCAAATGCAATTTCGATGGAATTGCGAAATTATATCTGTAAATTTGTATGACATGCGCGTGATTTATAAAATAATATCATATTCAATTCTCATTTATTTATCAACTCATTTATGTTTCACTCTCAATCAAATTGAAAAAAATAGTCAATTTTCGAAACACACATTCTTATTTTTATACTTCAAAATGTAGAAATAATATATGTATATATTGAAATAATATATGTATATATTGAATATATTTAATAGATATTAATAGATACATATTGTTATATATTTAATAGATACATATTGTTTTATTATACTTTCTCTGATACCAATTAAATAATCTTAATAAGAACTATTTTTATGTAATTTAAGCCGATCCCCCCCACATTCAACAATTGTCAACAATTAAATACATTTAATAACGATAATAAATTGGAAGCTGAATATGTTTTCCCTCTATCTTTTATTCTGTACTCTAACTTAAAAAATGTATTTAATATATTTTTAAATATAAAATTTTAAAAAATTCTAAAGATGCATGAAAACTGGAGGACTTTTCACAGCGCTTTTAATTAATACTTACTTTTAATAATATGTCAAGATCAATATAAAAATTTTATATATCGATTTTATGTTTCAGCAAAAGGAAAAAAAAGCACTGCACCAAATTACATTCTAGTCTATAAGGAAATCCGTTGCTATTATCAATAAAATTACGCTACCCCAGACTATTCTGCTATCTATTCGTATCATTTATAAAAAAAGAGAAGATAAACCTACCTATCAGTAAGCAATACCCTGTTGTACAGGAGATTAGCGTTACGTTATGAGATTTGTTTTTTCTGACGGTGCCTCTCTATTACTAGTGATGATGAGAGCCTTTCCTTCTAATCTATTATCCAACGAATTATTCTTGCTGCTCTGGCAGCCCGATCTGCTGGGAATCATTTCGAACTCATTCAAGTTGATCTCCGGGTCGAGAAACGCCAGGTCATCCCTTAACTGATCCGTTCTGTCGTCGAAATGATGTCTCTCGTTTCCATTACTGTCTCGTTCCAGTACCGATAGTTCTTCAGTATTATTCTCGCCGTTTTTTGTCGTAAACTTCGTCGTTTCTCTCTGTTCGTCCGATTGCTTATTTATTATGTTTAATTCTACATCCGTTTGCGTTTTTTCGGAAGAAAGTTTCGCTTGATTGTTCAAGAGCGTTTTATCCACATTCGTCAAGACTGTCGAGCCGTGGCTCCTCAGATGGTTTCCGTTTGCGGTTTTTGACCCGTTGGTCTGTTTTTGTACGTGCATATTCTGATCAGCGGGCTGCTCTTTTCCCTTTTTGGTGGCCGTGGTAGCGGCGGCGAGCTCGGCCTCTTTCATCGCCAAGTGGATGACCGGCTCGGCCCATAATCCCGGGTTGAAGGCTGGTCCCGTTCCACCGAGCTCCGCCGGCAAGATGTCCGTTGGCAGATGCTCGTGGAGCGTGCTGAGATTGTTACCGTGCAGATAGATCTGTAAATAAAAAGACGAACGTTAACGGCTTTTCTTGATGTATATACTTGACAGTTATCTGAGGCGCCTGAGCAATGATAATTTGTATAGAATCTTACATCGAAGATATCGATTTTTGCAGAGACTCTTATTTTATGACATTTGTTTCGAATTATGTTTGTTTATTTACGTGCACATTAAATGATAGAGATTAATTTCTATTATATTTTAAATATTTCTTGGATGGGATAAAAAGTGTAAGTAATTAAAATTAAATTTTCAAGTCCAATTTTTGTTATGATAAATATTATAAAAATATAAAATTTTACCTATATAATTGAATTACATTTCGTGTGCATTGAAATATAATCATGCGATGTATCCTGGCAATTTATTCGTGTACATAATGCGATGAATCATCTGCATCGCGTCTCACCTTATTTCGCGTTTTCTCATCCAGAAATGGCTTCACCAGAGCCAGAGTCGCCTGGACGTACAGGGGCGCTGAAAGGAAGTGTATCGCTTTGAATCGGGCAGGAAATCGCCCACGTAGAGCAGCTATTAGGTTTCGCAAAGCCGCTGCACCCAGCGCGCTACCCTGCCGTAACGAGAATCCGCTCCAGTCTACCACAACGACGAAACCACATTGCTGGAAAAAAATACAAGTCATCGTTCAGGAAACATGTGATAATTCCAGTTACAAATAAACATTCTGTCTGGATCGGACGTAGAAATTGAATGAAATTGCAGTTTGAAAACACTTTGTAAAATATAAATTACCGTCAAAGCATGGAAACTCGATATATACATATATATGTATTTTTTATATTGATATATTTTGTAGAATATATATTTTTATAGTTCAATATGTGTATGTGTGATTTTTTTATAAAACACACAAAGTGCAAATAAATAGCTTTACAATTTTTAAATATATAACACAAATATTTCGTAAATCATAAATTTGTAATAAGCGATAAATCTTTCGTAAAAGCCATCAATTTTTAATAAAAATAAGAGATAAAGTAATATAAATAATCCGCGAAATAAATCCATGAAATAAAAATTAATTGTTAATGATGTAAATGACTTGCACCTGATTTCGAGGGTCCTGAATAAGTATTTCCAGAACTAAGAAGATAGCTCGTTGAACGGACAATGCGGGCACAGCTATGGGATCCCATTGCGATGCTAAAATAACCAGCACGCATCTGCCTTTCCTACATTGATTCATAATAAAATAAAAAATAATGCATAAAATCAGAAGATAATTAAAAAATATAAGTATCATAAATAAACAGCTGTTTATCCAAATCATTATAATAATAATTTAAAAAAATAAGTTTTTGTTTCTCCATGTCTATTGTCTTAAATTATCTCAATTTATCAGGCATACTTTTTATTTTAAACATTAAATAAATCATTAATCGAAAGTGTTTCGTTATACAAATTATACAAATTATACGAAGGATGAAGCTGTATTAATTGTACTTGCATAATATATTATACATTATATTATGCAAATATAATATACAATAATATACAATTTTTTATTATAATAATTGCATATATTATATTTGCAGTACCAAGTGCTGATTGTAGTAAAAAATTGTAAGAATAAATATAACGGTTGTTATAAATCACGAGTTTATCCCTCGTTATTCCTTAATCCGCAGTACTTTCTTATTATAGATACACATACACACACACACACACATATCTGTACTTACTTATCTCGTGCGGGCAGAACACCTGGTATGCCAGCGCGAAGCGCGCGTTGCAAAGCGGAATCCCGAGCGGTGAGGTTGCCGAAGATATCCTGGCGATGCGCTATTTGCGCCTGATAAGCGGCTATCAGTGCAGCTGCTTGCTCGGTGCGATACTTCCGGGCCAACAGGAAGCGCGTAATATATTCATCCGTGCAACTCTCCAAGTCTAGGGACAACAGAGACGGAGACTGATCGTCATTGTAATGCTACCCGCAAAAACGCACGACCGGAAGCAATCCGAATGCGGACATTACCCGGAAAATACGCGCGGAACATTTCAATATTCTTCGCATTTGATTATAAATGATCGATCTTTCTTCGCTTTTTCAATTAGGTAGAGAATTAACTTTTGCTCAAGAGATCATAAAAACTGCATATTTTCGATATTTCAATTTCCAATAAAATGATTCGATTTTTTTTCTTTTTTTGCTACACATATTTCTTTTATTCATCTCAATATATTATTTAATTCATGCTTTACATTATTATCTTACAGTAATTGCTATTTATATATTTGTTGAATATATATTTTGATTAAAATAAGGCGAACTAAGGAATTTATATCACTTTGTTAAAAAAAACATTAAATTAGATAAGAAGATAACTTTGTAAAGTAAAGAAGAAAAAAGTAAATTTAATATTAAATCATGATAGACTTTAATAGAATTTAATAAATTAAATTTTAAATTATTAAATTATATTAAATTTTAAATTATATTATTAAATCATAATTTTAGCTTCTAATATTATTTTAACTTCACGTGTGTCACAAAATGCAATAATCTGATATCGATATAGTTATATTTTATACTTATGATTCCATTTTACCTACCTACATCCGGCATTTGCCGAAGTATAGCTCTGACAGTTTTAATGGCTAACTTCTTGTCACGCTTATCGAACTTGCCTCCCTCCTCGTAAATACTACGTGCCAAGGCGACGCTATTGTGACCACGTACGGGATCACACCACATATATTCGCAATATTCGGACATTTCGCTATTTTTCTTGCAAGCACGTCAATCTGAAACATTGGAATAAACAAGATTTTTTATTATACATATTTTTATTCTGGTACATAAAAAAAGATTTTATGTACCAGAAATATTATAATTATTTTTAAAATGATATTTTCTGAATATCGATGTATGTATTTTTGAAGGTATTATACGTGATATATTATTATTATTATTATTATTATTATAGATTATATATATTATATAGTCGTTGTGAGGAAAATCCATTGTGCTAAATTATTTTTATTAATATATCTTCTCTTATCTTATTAAGTTTTTCTATTTAAAATATCTTGAATCGTGTATTTTTTTACAGTTAAAGTTTAATTAAGTTTAATTAAGAATTTTTATTATAGGAATATCGGCTATTATATAAAATATTTTATTTATGATTAATAATTGCTTGACAGAAAAGATAAACCACACAAAAGCACAATTATTATTCCCATGTAATAAAGATTTAATAAGAAATTTTATCAAACAAAATTTTTTTAAATATAAATTATATATATGTATACATTTTGGCAAAATGACAAAAATTTATTTCTCGTTCAAGTTTAAAAAGAAAAATAAATTCGAAATGAAAACTAGATCAAAAGTATCGTAAAGCGAGAAATGCATTCTTCTTGAAGAGAGACGTACGCAGAAAATTATATTCATCTCGATATATATATTAGATATAATAAATGATTCGATTTTTAATTATTAATGATGCAAAATTATGAAAAAATAACACAACTGATTAAACACAAGTGACATAAAAACGTGCCTGATAAAAGCGAATGCTGCTGCGAATAACATTATAGTATTCGAGCACGTAAAACGTATGTACATATGTAACGTTCGATGATTGATTCGGAAAGTGGCGTATCTTGTTAAAAGCCGCTCCCACTGAATAAATAATACACGTAATCACGGTTTATATCATAAATCACGATAAAAACGCGGCTCAATTGCACTCGCCAAAGCTTTCATTTCGCATATTTTATTTCTTTCATACATCCAACATCATCATCATCCAACATTCAGGCACATTGCACCAAACGATGATTCATGGAGAACTGTCCTTGTAAGAAGCGCGTGTTGCGCGAGCGGTTCTTTCGACCGGTTCGGATAATTATTTCGCGAAAGTTTCGCACGACCTTGCAACAGACAAGCGATCGATTTGCGATCCCTTATACTTTCTCAGTCGCTAACTCGTCCACACAATCGAGTCGAGTGCTTCGAGAAACTCGGGATATAATATTACCGAGACATTAAGCAAAAGTTGAATGTGGAAAATATCTAATTCCTTCATTTAAAAAATGGACATTAAAATTTCTACATTTTATTTTAAGAAGTCTAAAATAGAAAATAGAAAATTTTTAGTCATCAAAAAATAACTGTTTAATTTCTATTTATTATTAACACAAGAAGAAGGTAGGAAAACATGACGAAAGTCATTGTCCAGAGAAGATGAATCGTAAAATTAAACGGTATTCTGAAGCAATTCAGAGCCGGTTTCAAAAAGAGAGTAAGGGAGAGAGAAAGAGAAAGAAAGAAAAAAAAATGATACTCAGGTATCCCATAAATTAATAAATTAATAAAATACTCAAGTCAAAATTATTTTTGACATATCACATATCATAGTAATTCTATTATTAGACATTCATTGATATTTCTTACATATATTTTATACAAGAAAATGGGTTATCTACATAAATTGCAAAATGTATTGAAACACACCATTTTTCTTCGATTAATAAGGATGTAAACTATTAGCGATAAAGAGAGTTTAGTAGGAAATATAATATCAGCTTACAATATAACAAGAGTTATAACGTACCCGTACTCGTTACGTCAGATCTATTTCCGTCTCTTTAAAGTTTGTCGAAACCGATAGCCTATTACCTTGATAATACAATGTAAACCCGACACGCACTGGTACGCATATTAAAATCTATGAACAGTCAGACCTAATTATAACACCAAGAGATAAAAAGGATTACAATACAAAGCTTTGGCGCAAGTGTAACCAAACGTAACCAAACATAAAATATAAAAAAAAAGAGACAATACATTGTACTTACGTGAAAGCGTTATATAAAGAATATCGAGATCCTTTCTAATTTGATTCTCTATCGTTCCCAATCAGGAAGATTAAAAGATGAGATGCACTTATGTAGTCAAACAAACCGTGCACAATGATAGGAGTTATTCGAACTCGCGGATTCGTAGCCAAGTGTCAGAACATGAGGAACATGAAGAGACGAGGAACGAGGAGAATCACCGGCAGATTACGGTACGAGAGATGAAAGAAAGAAACGGAACAGGGAAAGAGTTCGAACAAGAGAGAAGGAGATAGCGCGAGGAGAGAGAGCGCGGTTGAAGCCGGTTATCGACTCGCCGCTGACTCATCGTGCTCTCCTTGCACTCGCTCTATTGTAATCCCACGCGAAAAATCGTCCACCATCGATGGGATATCCCATCATTGCATCTGTTTATGAGCGAGATAGCACTAGGGTTGGTGTCAACCGTCTGGTTTTGACCTGGACTATCAGATTTTCAGGAATCTTGTCCGGTGCCCGGTTGACAAGTCAAACCGAACGTGTCTGATTTTTACGTACATTTAAATAATAAAATGAAATTTATCCAAATTCTATTTTTTTTAATTTGAAAGCAATATTGTAAATCATTTCTTATAAAATTTAGCATTTAATCTAATTTTATTATTACTGTTTCTATCCGATTTTGTTTCCGAAGACGAAAAAAATGTCCGATAATTTTTGGATTTGACAAACCTAGACAATATCTGTCATAACAACGATGTATTTAAATGTGCGTATTTACATGTCCGAAGTCTTGCGAATAGTATCTTGAGCTTTCATTAAATTTATCTTTGCAATATTGCCGATGAAATTTCTCTGCAAATCTCAATGTTATAGATACTTGGGGAAAAGATTCATGGATCTTTTTTCGAAAATTTCGACAATGGAATATTAAGTAGATACATTTCTTTTCATGTGGAATGTACGTTCGGACACTTTTTTTAAAACAGTTTACATATGACAGTCGCAGTTTGCGTATCAGCTTTATCTTCAAATAACTTAGCATTAATGCTATTCTATGTATAATTATGTAACAGGTAACATTAATCTTTTAAGAAGGCAATTTAATGATACAAAAAAGGAGAGATTTTGCAACTGATGACTCACAGATAAAATTGACATACGCTTCAAACAATTATTATTGTCTCATTTTATCGAAATTTTAATATTAAATTTAATATTAAATAAAGGCTCAAAAAATTTTATTAAAAATAATACGAAGTATAATTTATATTATTAAAAATAACACAAAGTATAATTTATATTATAATTATAATAATATAAAGTATAATTAATATTAAATTTAATTTAAAATTGTAATATGAATAAGTCAGACATAGATAATAAAAATAACATATCTGCGAGAATAATTTTATAATAATTTCAATAATTAATCAAATAATTATTGATACTCGTTGAATTATACAAATAATAATATGAGAGGTGTAAAAGCTAACTCGAAAATCATATGTAATTATTTAAATACATAGAAAATCTTTTTTCAAATTCATCCCATGTTGCATATAAAATATTTCATGAATAATATTCGCACGTTCCGCTACAATGTGTGTCATCAACATTTATCGTCATTGCCCGATCTATAAAGACGCATAAAAAATTATCAGATGTCCGTCATCTGGTTTTTTTAATCGAACAATGGCAACGCGGAAGCGCTCGGTAACCCTAGAAACACAAAAGCTTGATACGATTTTTCACGAGTATGCGACGCATTTCTTTACATACGTCGTCGCAAACTAAGCGACGCTAATAAAGAACGGCCGCTAATAAAGAACGGATGTGATGTTAAAAACGTCGCATAAAACGAACCAACATTCGTAAATCTGTTTCGTGCTATAAAACAACAAACTATATTTTGTACTTTGATTTTTAGTTTGCCTTTGGCAACAGTTGAACGATTGCGCGGTCCGTGATATTTTGCAGACATTTATTATAATGCGCACACATCCAAAAATGAATTAACGACTGTCATTTATTTATTTCTCTTCTTTTTTTGTTTCTTATAAAATAATAAATAAAAATAATAAATAAAAATAAAAATATATAGCATTAAAGCGCGTTTTTAGTCTTACTGCAAGAATGAAACTGCACACGCGATGTCTTCCAATACCTAACACGTATGATTCAACGTAAGTTAATTTATGCGAGTCATCAGTTGCAAAACTTTTTCTCTACATCATTCATTGTATTATCTCGAAAGATTGCGACTAATGTTGTTGCATATAATTATATATCGATGTTGTGTTGCATATAATTATATATATTATATATCATAACATTGACGTTGAGAGACGCGCAAATTAGAGATAAGAGACCGAAGATATGTAAAGTATTTAAAAGAAACAGAATCGCACGCATTTATTACGCAAAATAAGCAGTAAACAGCGATATTTACTGTCCCCATAATTTCAGTAATTATATAATTTTGTACAAAAATTATCTCGCGTAAACATTTTTCTTCTTTTACATACATACATTGTCTGAAATGCGCTTTCGTTTGTGCAACTGACGATGCAAGAGTACATACATGCATACGTACGTACGTATATACATACATACATATATGTACATGTTACGCGTCCAAGGAAGAAGTTGCGTAATGTAACGGTAGAAACGCGATGTATGGCAGCAATAAGAGAGACATTACCCGTTTTCTTAACATGTACAGCGAGAGCCCATCGTAATATCCATCCATAAAAAGTTTAATAACTGACATATAAAAAGGAATGTTCTATCCATCTATGCGGCTCATTAATTACATTTGTCCGAGCATTACACATAAAATGTTAGATACTTTGAAGAATATTTTAGATGTAGAATTTTATCTGCACAGGTATATGCAAAATTGGAAATAAAATAGAGACCAAATTCTAAAAATTTAGATGCGATTATACATCATTTATGAAACATGAGAAATGTACATTATATATTTTAATTACATTTAATATTAATATATTTATATGTAATATTAATATTATATATTTAATATTAACTATACTTTTTAATACGAAATATTTAATATTAATATATCTAATATTAATTATACTTTTTAATACGAAATATCAGATTGCAAATGTCAGATAAACAATAATTGCTATAAGTCATAAGAGGAGATAACTTTATGAAAATTTTAAAACAAAAATTATATCGTATTTAACAAGAATCCTTAAAACAGGATTGAATATTCCTCTCTGTATAACTCAAACAAATTGATCAAACGATATAAATAATATTGTCTACGAATACACTCGAGATATTTCTTTTTCTTAAATCTATTTTTGCGAAATATTCGAGGCTATCAATAGCTATGTTAAATAAACTACGCCTTGTTTCGCACACACAAACCAAGTTATCACTCATAAGAAATTATAAAGTTAACAGGTGCCATTTAATAAATGCCGATAAGAAGACGATATTACTCATCGATCGATTTTCGCGTTGCCTGGCACCCATTTGTTCTTTCGCTTTCGCGAATATCTGACCATCTTTTACACGAGGGCACCTGGATCTGAAAAAGAAGGGCCTACAAAAAGGGTTGAGCAAAAAAAACATTTAGAAAGAAGAGGATATCCCTTTATGGATCCATAGCCTGCGTACGCAGTTGTTTGCGAAAAAGAGGACAAAAGACGTGCATTGTCTTCGTAGCTGCAAACCTTCCGCAAGTATTGTCAATACGTTTGTTAAGTAACATTCCTATAATATAGGCAAATACCTTTGCGGTGCACACTTTCACTAATCTTGTCTAATTCCACCATGCGCATTATAGAGTAAAATAAATTCTACATCGCGCCATTATATAAAATATAAGGAGTGTTTTGCACGTACTGTTACTCCACTTTCATCGCGGATAAATTAAGCTAATCGAATAAGACAAACGGAGCAAGAAATGGCGTCGTAAAACTTCCGCTAATGAAAATAAATTATTCTAAATATTTATCGTCGAAATATTTGCGATATCTTGTACGCTTTCGAACGGAAAAAATTATGCATATTTATGCAAAAAAGTTTACGAGTGAGTCATTAGAATCGCATGAATAATAATAACAAAAGGTTTATTACAAAAGTATTCAGTTGCACAACTTGACGTTTCGAGACAAAGACTCTCTTACCTTGCATCCGGCTCCTACGAACGGTCTTGGAGAACGGTTTTAAAGAATCGTGCGAGATATTCCGCAACAACGACGATCCAGGGACTGTTGATCGATCGTGGAACTCGATTTTTCACGGTTATCGGCGACGCATCGCCGAATTTTGCGCGCGAACCGATCCACGTACTTCGACTGTCAAACGCGCGCGTCGAACGCGAGGAGCCGAAACGCCGCTCGAAACGTCCGGCGCGAAACTGGCGATTCGAAATATGGCGAGCACGGCGTGAGACGTGACACATGCGTGACACAGGGCCAACCGGCACCGACGAGGCGTAGGCGCCGCTCGATGAATACGGCGACGAACTGACCGTCCGATCCAGGGCCGTCACTAGCTTGGCGAACGACGAAGCGAAATGGCCGCGTAAATTATCCTCGATGGCTCGGTCGAAGAATGTTACGTCACGCGTTCGATTTTACCGACGTTTTCACGTCAACATTGGGTACGTCGAGCATAAATCTTACGTTGATTTATTACGACATTACATAGTTATGAGTGAAAAAATGAAAGTCTCGAAAGTTTAAATTTATACCATGGTCAGATATTCGCGCATTCTTTTCTGGTAGATAACAGGTTAATGAATAATTCTTTCGAGTGTCGCGCGACAGAAAGATAAATCAGGCAATTAAATATTAATATCATCCGGTACCTGATAAAAGAACAAATCTTTTATTTCCGATTGAATAACGATGCATCTACGAATTCTGTGTATAAAAAAGAGATTTGATTCAAACGAAATTTCTCAGACAAGATTAGAAAGCAAATTATGCGCTCGTATTCTTATTATAATAGCTATCTTTGGCATTTAAATATATTGCAATATTAATTTTGAATAATATTGTAATATATTACAATATATTGCATTATATTACAATATATATTGCAATATATCGCAATATTCAAAAATTATTATCAAAATATTAGGAATTTAAAATTTGATTTACTAAAAATAGAAAAATAATAATTTTAAAAATGAAAAAAAAGATTCAAATATATATATAGAAATTCGAATATGATTAGTAATAGAAATCGTTGCACCGTACTTTAGATAGTTACAATTATAATTACCTAAATCTAATTTTAAATTGTAAAGTCGGATTTTATATACATTTTACATGTAATTGATCAAAATATAATTAAATTTTTTATATAATTATATATATATATATATATATATATATATATATACACACACACACACACACACATATATATGTATATCCAATTTTTTATTTAGAACTATTATTTATCGTAATTTCAATCAATCAAAAATTTTATATACAGGATGATTCGTAAGGTCAGGTCAAACTAGGAGATGAAAAAGGAGTTTGAGTAGAATAAATAATGTAAATAAACTTTTTTGATATTCGCTATAATTTAGTAAATATTGCACTTTATGTGTACAAAAAGCGTAAAACTCCTTCAATAATTTAAATATTTTTCCTCTGTGTAACGTATTACATAGTAGAATTTGTATGACCTTTAATAGCGTTTTCACTGATAATGACACAGCAAGTATGAACAGAGTACGAATGCGGCAAACAATTAGATCACAACATTACGCACTCAACGTAAACAATCTAAAAAACGTACTCTGAGCAAAAACTTCATTAAAAAATGTCTTTTTTTGTACTCGCTATGATTTAGTAAATCCATGTTTCGCTTAAAAGACGACAGTATTCAACTAGCAATAAAGAAGACAAGTTATAACAAGCAAATAAAGAAGAGAATTGGATAACCAAATTCTTATACACAGAAAATTACACCGTGATCAAAAATTGAACATGTTTAGCAACGAGGAATATCGCGATATGCATTATCTGTATGGACTTTGTGATGGCAATGCCGCTGCAGCTGAATTATGCTTGCGTAATAGAGGACAGCATTTTGAACACCTGCTTTAATGAACGCAAAAAAACATTATGGGTCATGCAATGTATTGTTTATTTTGTAGTTAAAATATAACACACACATATTTTCTATACATTCATATAAAGTGCAATTACTTACTAAACTATAGCGAATATCAAAAAAGTTTATTTACATTATTTATTCTACTCAAACTCCTCTTTCATCTCCTAGTTGGTTGACCTGACCTTTCGAATCACCCTGTATAAATTACTAATATACTTGATTATTAATTTTAAATAATATTATAAAATATTGAAACCAAAAATAGCCACAATAGGAATACGAATGTAAAATTTGCTTTTTATTATATTAGTCTTTATATTAGTATTTATATTAATCTTTCATAGAAAATTTTGTTAAGTCATTTTTATTCACAGAATTCACAAGCATATCATTATTAATCAAAGGAAATATCTACTCCTTGTCAATGTGCTTCCTTTTCTTTTTTTGAAATAATCAATAAGCATGAAGATAATTATAGAACGCTGGCATTATCGACTGCAGATATATAGTATTTCAATTTAACAATTACTGTTTTATCATCTATAATAACAGCATCACGTAAACATCTCTATTATATAATAATAATAATAATAATAATAATAATAAGTCATAATGTACTATGAAAAAGAAAATGTTCTAATTTAATCAAGAAAAAATTAAAAGAAGACAATTCTCTCTTTTAAATTTTTAAAAACACTTAAAACACATTTATATTTAACATGTTTCAAATGTTTTTTATTAAAAATTAAATATTCTATCATATTTATAAAATATCAATTACTTTAGAGAATAATATAATACTACACAATAAAAAAAAGTTGTTAAAAATTTAAATTCTATGTAAAAAAATTACATATTACTATTATTACTATTATTACTATTTTGATCAATATTTAATTTGCAAATAAAAATTTCGTAATAATAATTTATATGAAATTATAATTTAGTATATTCACATTTTGTTGTCAGTTTGCATTTATCTTCACTTAAACCATTATCCCTATAAGACACAATATTCCTAAAATATTGTATAAATATTATTAACAGTTAATAATATTTTCATTAATTTCATTAATTTTGATAACTTTAACTTATGATTTTATAAGATATCTTGAAAATATATTTTCTGAGAAAAGATATAACCACAAATAATTTTTTTTTCAATTTATTTAGCTATATACCTTCATTCTCCCTCTTGTAAATTCTTCAAAACACATTTAAATGTTTAACATATTTAAAATCTTTTGTTTATCAAAAATTCCATCATATTTATATATATATATATATATATATATATATATATTATATATATAACAATAAAATACATTCCTAAAGTAATATTTTACATTACTTTATTAAGTATGTCTTACTTTATTAAGTACCCATATAGCACAGAAGCTTGCTGCAACGTTGCTGCAATGTTACAATATTGCTCACTGCAGTGTAATGTTGCAGCAATAATGCAGAGACATTATTTTGTAATATTACTTTGACAATGTTGCAGCAACGTTTTAACATAGCGAAAATGTATAACATGTGTTTCTTTACTTGCCGCTACGCGACACCCAATTTAACTAACTCGTATTTGAATTCATCTAAGATGGATATAATGTCTACAAAAGATTAATGTAGTAATTATATTTCTTGTCTTGTGCCAGTTTAATTTCTGGCAATAAACAGACTTGATTTACTTAATATTCTGAATCCTAATGAGGGATCCAGATTATTAAACAAATAATTTGTTTAATAATCTGGATCCTTCATTGGGTTTCAGAATATTAAACAGATTTTTCTTAATTGAATGGGTAAATAGGAAATAATTCATTTATTGCACGTATTAAAATATTCTGATGTCGAATGTATGTAAAATAATTGTATGTAATATTATTGAGATAAATATTTAAGAAACATCTAATAAAAACACTAATAGATGTTTTTTTAAAGGCATTTTTTCCTATCTTTCTAAAACATTTTTTTTTATATTTTCAAAGTTTATTTGTTAAATTTAAAACGTGTCTGCATTTGTAGCAAAACGCGTTTTAATATTACAAATACATTTCACCGTAACATTGCTACAATATTACATTGCAATATTTCTACAAGCGGACATTTTACCGTTGCTGCAATATTGCAGCAATGTTGCAGCAACATTTTGCAACCTTTCTGCAATGTTACAATCTTGCAAAGAAATATGTCTGCAATGTTGCTGCAATATTTCTGTGCCGTATGGGTATGTCTTTACTTTTTTTATTAAGTATGTCTTACTTTATTAAGTATGTCATTACTTTATTAAGTATGTCTTACTTTATTAAGTATTATTAAGTATGATTAATAATGTCTAAAAAAAAAACAAATAATCAATAATGTCCATTGCACACAAAAAGTTTATTATATATTATGCAAAGTTTTTAAAGAATCTTCAGATTATGTAAATGTTTTTTGATAAAAAAATTATCTACCGTTGTATCCGGGAGCAAAGATATCAAGAATTTATGATAATACTGACCTTTCATATCATGTGTCAAGAATTTTAAAAAATTTAGTAATTTCATTATATCATCATTATATATTGCTTTAGAATGTTATATTTTACAACATTAAATTATTTTTTTTCTATTTTAATTACTTTATATAATATATTTAGAAATCTATCCAAAGTTCTTTATCCTCTTTAATACATATTTATCCTTCCTTCTCTCTAAATGTCTATTTTTACTTCTGCAAACTCAAAAATTTTTCCAATAGTATTTTATATACTGGACAAAATTAACGCATAATTTTTGTTCACTTTTTCTTTAAATTTTTTCGTTAAAATTTAAATATCAGCTTTTAAAGAAAAAGTGAAGAAAAAATTATGCGTTAATTTTGTTCAGGAGTATATATCATGTCTAAAAATTCTTAAAAAATCTCTTCAATATTCGTTTTGCGGCTTTTTTCAAAAAAATTCCTACACACGCACATTTGAATTCGCGTTTCAAGTTCTATAGTCAATGTACGCTGCGCTTCTCCCACCCAAACTTAAAAGCAATGGAAAGATGATTCTTGTTAGCCTTGATATTCGTTCGTTAAAGCAATGCAGGCATAGTTCCCGCGACCGTGATTCTCGGTCTGCATTCACGTGCATATCGTCGCGTCGTCATCATCACCATCATCATCTACCGATAAAATCGTCGCAGTTATCGCGAGACGTTGTAACCAAGTGAAGTATTTCGCGCGACCCATGACCAATAAATCGCACACGAATGCAATATTAACGCGCAGTCATCTCGATAATTACATATATGTGTATGCAGATATAAACTTTTTTATGTCGATAGTGTGTGTGCTACTAAAGTTTTAATATTAAATGTGCCAGTATATCAGTTGACTGCGAACAGTCGGTGTTGGATTGTAATCACTGCGAATGCGGATAACACTCTCAGTCATTGCGTGACTTGACAATAATCATCAACAACAGAGTAACAAGGTAAATCAAACTATGTTTAATAACGGACGAATCGTGTTTAAAAACTTTTGTTCTTTCTCGTTTCAATACGAAATTATAATTATATATTTATATGCATATATTAATATATAATAATCTTCTTCGGCACAAAATTTTTAATATTGATAACTATAAAAGTATTGATCATTCTATTTAATTTTGTCACATTTTCCTGGCCCATCCCAGTGAGAAAAGACAAGTCGGATAAGACGTTTAATAAACGTCTATTAAATATCTATTGAATGTCTTATTGTTAGATAATTTATTATATTTATATAAGATTTTGCAATAAAATTGTTTGTAAAAATTGTTTGTAAAAATTTTGTAATAAGTAAAAACGATTTAGCATATTTTTATAAAATAAGCAAGACTAATAATAAACGATGAATCATCATATTTGATATCTAAATAGTGAAGAGAATATGATATTGGCTTATTATCATGAAGTATTATTAAAATGATATATACTTGTATCACAATAAGATTTTGCCATTTACGTAACGGATCGCAGATCTTGTTCTTTATGTAATTATTAAGTGATTAAAATGCAAATTTAATTATTACAATCAAAATCTTCAATCGGCAATCATATTGTGTACACATAATTTATTTTCGCTACGCTGTAAATGTGCACGAGAAAAAGATTTTATACAAATCGCTTTTTCCCAACGTTTAAAAATGTTGCGTTCACAAAATAGGATTAAAAATGCATCTCAATATGACTGATATATATATATATATATATAAATTTGGACTAAAATTATTTTTAAAATAATTTTCTAATCTGTACAATGTTATATTAATTAGAATTGAAATGGCAAACGTAATACAAGTTTGTTCTTTGCTTGATTTGCGGATAAATTGTACAATATGATTTGTTACACACACAGAATTATACAAATGATGAATTATACATTAGTTTTTACACTGAAGTCACGATTGATTTGCACTTACGATTTATTTGCAGTCACGATTTACTACAAGTGTATACATAATTAATTTTTTTTGTGGAATATTTACATGCTGCATTTATAATCAATCATGCATTTATGATCAATCAAAATTTCTTTCAAGGTTTAGTTGCATAAAAATTCTAAATATCAAATATTGATGTTTTGCATTAAATATGAAATGATCTCAGTTTTGCAAAATTTGACATTAATTAAGTTTAATAGCGTGAGGATAAATAATATAACTGTTCATTCTTTTATTTTTTAATTATTAGGATATAATTTATTAGCTACATATTTTACTGCTTCAAGATTTTAATAGTTTCACATGAAGTATAGTCACATAAATTAATTAATTTAACCGTTAATGTATGTTTAATGTAAATTTTATCGTTATCTTTTAATGTTGCTAAAATATGAATGTTTTAGCTATATCTTAGATATATAACGTCAATAAAAATGTTTTCAAAATTAAATCCAATTTATCAAAAGTAATTAGCTAATAAATTATTACATGTAATAATGATAAATGAATCTCTTATATATGAATATCCATAATTATTAGCAAAACATTAAATGAATATCCATAATTATTAGCAAAACATTAAATAAAATTATTTATTTTATATATTTCATTAAAAGATTGTTATAAAGATTGCTTGAAAAAGATAATTGATTTATCGATAAACTTATCAATCGTAATGGATTTATACATGATATCATCGTTAAAAAAGTTGCTATCCTAAGCTATATCCACACTGAGCAAAGTTAATATGAGCGCGCAATAAGATATGCCGAATTATGAATATTAATGATGCATAAATTTTATTATACTGACTTAGAAAAATAAATTATTCAATAATTAGCAAAGTAACAAAAAAATTATCTTTGTTTTCTGATTATTTTATTATACACAGAGATCAAAATTGATATCGATTATATATCGGTATTTTTATATAATAATCGATAAAATCGATTAAATTCTAATATGACATACATGTATGTCGGTATTATATAATTTTATGCATCCATAATATCGATATTATATCATTTTATTACTAACTTTTTATCATATAGTATTGATGCTATAATGATAATACAATGCATATAGTTATCGCTATTACATTTTATTAATTTTTCATATTTATTAAATTTGACAGAACTTTATCAGGATGGCGCCTGTTTTAAACACTCTAGTCCATTTGATCAGTCTAATACTTTACGGTTTCACTCTATACTATGCCTTCAACATATTACACATTCCTATGGTGGCAGCAAAATTTGAAAAGTTCGATCCTGGTCAATTGAAGTACTTAACGATGTGGGATGTGGTAAGTCGTATATCTTTTTTAATTATAAAAGAATTCTCTTTCTTTTTTCTTGTATAGATAAAAAACTGTATAAGATGTATAAGATATAAAATGTATAGAAGTAATTATAGAGAAGTATATATAGAGAAGTATTAATATATACAAATATATTTCTTGTGCTGTAAATAATTTTTTGTACTAAAAATAAATGTCTTCATTTCGAATTTAGAATTTTAATTCTAGGATATGCTAAAAATTCAGGATATGCTAATATTTGCAATTTTTTGTATATTTAATATACATAAATTAAAGCGAAGAGGAGAAAGAAGATGTTTTTACACAACGATAATAGATAATTTACAAATATCCAATATCCAAATATCCAATTCATGTTGCAATAATTGTTCATAAGCATGATTTTTATTTTGGAGTTTTTTGCAATTTTTTTAAACAAATTATATTTTATGAAAAATTTAAATTCAGTTCTGTCTGAAAATATATCTTATCTCAGAAAAAAATATGTGTATATATATATATATATATATATATATATATATATATATGTATGTATATACATATTAAAATAAAAAATATTCAATATTATTAGGAATTACCTCATTACATAAATTAAGAGATATTTCAATTAAATGTAACTAAATATACAAAATATATTTCCTTGAACTTTCTACAAATTACTTAATTTTAAAAGCATATTTTTAATTTGATTGAAAATTTTATTTCTGAGTTATGAAAATCTTATTTATGACAGAGATTTAAACGAGATTTACCTATCAAGGTTAGAGATCAATTCCTATTCAAATTGATCGATTAGAGATTGAAATGGAAATTGAGTCAAACGAGCCTGTGAATAGGTTCCCATATCAATTCTACCAAATGTTGTTTAATTAATCCTTGAATCGATCATCGTTGAGTTCTGTTCGTGACGTACACTCATGTGCAGGCGAGTGTATGTATGTGTACATAAATATATTTGTTGCAATTTTTAGAAATCTGCTTTAGCTCGAGATTAAAAAATAATTTATTACTAACCGCACGACGCGCAACGACAGAAATTATAATATATAAAATAAAAAATATAAAATTGCGTTACAAATATATGAAAAACAATTCATCAATTAAAAAATAATTAATATTTGAAAAATTAATTATTACGCGCTATGAATTTTTTCATTTATTTCTTGTTTTTTCAAATGTTCCAGATATTTAATGAAATAAATTATAATATTATCAAAAAAAGTTTTTTTTTAAATATAAACTTTTGAAAAACATAACAAATAAAAAATAAAATTTAATTCTTATATAACTAACCTAAATAATTAAATCTTAAATATTTTATACATTTAAGATTTAATTGTTTAGGTTAGTTATATAAGAATTAAATTTTTATTTATTTTTTATTTACATATCTATTTACAAATTAATTAATGTAATTATTTTATTTATTATAGATATTTTAAGAGTTTTCTAATAAAATCTAGAAAATATTATATATATATATATATATATACAATCTAACATTTTTTTCAAATAAATCGAAAAAAACGAGAAAATAATTAATATTATAACTAACAAATAAATAATTCATAAACTATTTACCTTATAGCTGCTCCACTATTGCCCAAGACCATCTCTTGTTTTCTTGTTTGTTTTTCTCTTCGTGACACTAACACTTGGGAAAATATGGTACGATCATCTTTGCATTAATCACTAGACTCGCGATGATTGCACGACACTTTACATGGCATTTCCAACATTAATCACACAAAACGCGCGTTTTATTATATGGTAATACATCGGAGAATGAACGCGAAAACAAATCCGCTATACTAATATTAAATGGTTAACGTTTTTATTTCAAAACGATTATTATATTATTATAAAATCACTGATATAAATAACGAAAGTTTATTACTTGGTTAAAAAGCGAGATTAAAATGCAGATGATTATACGGCTTATCAGTTACATCATAACGTTATTTATTTGGAATCGATTAACATATTTTATACATAACACGATTCGAGAGTAACCTTGGTAATATTACGCGATACGAGTCGAATCGAATTAATGAAACTGGTTAATACGTAATAATAATTGCGAATTAATTAATCGCGCAGATTTATAACAACTATTGCAGTAGTTTGAGAAAATAAATCCGAGTAATATTTGTTACGATCGCGTTTCAAAAGATAATACGACGACATACGTATATTACGTCCTTCCCATCTTAGTGTCAGCACGTGAATGACAAGGTAAGCCGCACAAACACCGTGTCCTTGACATAAAACATTGAACACAATACGAGGTACGTGTAGATGTATGTACGCAAAATATTGTATCGCTTTTAAATAAATTAATGATAAATAACAGAGAAAATATTTCTCATAAAAGATATCGAAAAGATTGAATTATTCTTATCAACTAATCTCAAATCATCATTAAATGCTGTTAAATGATACACATTTACGCGCTTAAATAAATTGCAAATTAAATTTATTTTAATGATATTGATAAATTTACGCAAATATGATAGTACGATGTTGAAAACATTAATATAATGTAATAAAATTGTAATAAATTTCAATTAGTTATTGATGGAAAAGGAGAAAGTTTTTATTATAGATTATAAGTTAATTAATAAGTATTATATAAAACTACTATAAAACATTAAGTTGTTATATAAAACACATTATAGTATACGTTATATATATGTATAATCGCTTTCATTATTTGAAGTTAAGTCGCGTGCGATGAGATTGTATTATGTTTCAAATTTTTTGTTAGTGATAGAAAATCACACACACACACACACACACATATCTTCTTTACAATTTAACAATTTTGTACAATTTTAAGTCTCTAAAAGTCTATAGAAAGTCGAGACGTAGACTTTGTTCTGAATGATAAATTGAGCTCTTTCTCTCTTTACCTCTGTTTTCCTCTTCTAAGTCTCTCAGAAACAGACTACAAGATGACCTAATGACAAGTACAATAAATTTTTCATATGCTATAAGGAAAAATTTGTCTTATATTTTTAAATATTCAAACTAAAAAGATGAAGAAGAAATATAAAAATTATTAAAAAAAAAAGAAAAAAAACTACAAAAACTCCAATAGATTGAAAAGACACTCCTACATTCGAAGAAGATATCCGCTCAAGGTCTGTAAATAACGGTGGAGATGGACAAAATCAATATTTAATCAACAATGAGTCTATAAGTCTATATAATCGGGCCACTTATTACTTTAATTTGCGATATTAATATCTCTTTTGATAAAAAGCTGAACAATTTTTAATCGAGCTTATTTATAGCGCAAGGATGCTCAAGATAGACTCCAGCCTCGTAGAAGGCGAGAGTGGAGTGTAGGGTACCCGGGACACCTAAATCCATCACTGGGGATGTTCTCCCTTCCATCATTTTCGTTTCTGAACGCGGCCGCATGAACCAGTGCCAAACGCACGCACGCTGCGGTCTTTTCTCCCTTCCCTCTCCCGCTATTTTACTCCATTATCCGTCAGTAAGTCGCGAACCGCCGACACAAGTGCCTCGGGGAGTGTTTTCGTGCAGCTGACCACGTGAAGCCTGACAGAATCTCGCGCTTTGGGAAAAAAAAGAAAAGAAAGAAAATAGAAAGACAGCTACGGTATCGGCCGCTTCAAGAATCGAAGCGCGCGTTTTCCGCACCAAGTAAGGGTAGATCGATCGGCATGTCGAGGTCGAGACGGCCGTAAGCCGATTAAAAATAAGGCTCTCTCTCTCTCTCTCTCTCTTTTTCCGTCGGTTTCTCTCTCCTTCTTGCGAGATACGGTCGTGTCGATGGACGACGATAGACGCGGAAAATTCGGCCGTTTTTTTTCCCCCAAGCGTATATACGCGGCAGGCAAAGTGTATCGTGCAATTCACGTCAATGAGTTTCAGACTCCGGCAGGTATATGTTACACGCAAAAATAATCTCCACGTTTCTCACGACGCGGAACGATTTTCCCGTGATTTTTGCGGAAAATTGAGTTACGTCGCGACTTCCGGTCGAGACGACGGGGGTGGAGGTTAAGGGTACAACGCGAACACGCCGCGGCATCCGGTAGCATTGTCCGAATTCGCCCGCTCGATTCTCGAGCACCGATTCTCCGGCGTGGCGTCGCCGAGTCGTAACGCGTGGGCGGGTGTCGCCGGAACTCGGCCGCCCGCACTACGACGCGACGTAGTACCACACGTGACGCGTAGCCGAGAAACTAGCGCGAAAATCCTTTCTACCTGAGGAACAGGTCAAGTGGATAAAACACGACGGGAAATTGCCCCGTAAAGTTTACTCGAGTATCCGCAATCTTTGCGGATGATGGGAAAAATATTTGAAAGTTTCGTTCCGTTTCCCTTTTTCTCTCGCGTTTTAAAATCCGCTCTAAAATTCGAATTCGATTGTTTCAGTTACGTGTAGTGATTGCTTCCTTATTTCAACGTTTAATTTCGTTGTTATATTTTATTTTCAAAGCAATTATGGTATTAATTAATTTAATTATTTGTAAAAAATGTATGAAGTAATATCATCCATGTATTGATATGTAGAAAAAAAGAAAGATAGGAGAGAAAATTTAAACATTATTCATTACATCAGAAGACCTCGAAACATAATCAATTATTGTATATCATCATTGCGTTGCGTGTTTGACATACAATTGTAAATTTCACATATCTTTTAGGTTTTAATTCTTTGCGCTAGAAAAAAAAATTAAATAGGAATAACACAAAAAGATATATTTTTTAGTTAATTAAAGTAAAAAAGAAGAACTACACAATTTATTATATGATAGTAGTTATTTGAAAAAATAAAAATTCGCATAGTTAATGTTTGTGAATTTATACATTATCTATCGATAATTTTCATTTTTTAAATTCAAGGTTGACACTTCAAGGCGGTTCAATTTTATCGCAAAATAAATATAATAATACAAGTTGCAATGCAGTTATTAAAGTTTTTCTTCTTTGTAGAAAAGGATTTAGTA